AACAACCCAGTTAAGAAATGGCAAAGGACTTAAAAAGGCATTTTTATTTTTTTTTTCAAAGCTTTATTTATTTGAAAGTCAGAGTTAAACAGAGAGAGAAGGAGAGGCAGAGAGAGAGAGAGAGAGGTGTCATCCATCTGCTGGTTCACTCCCCAATTAGCCACAATGGCCGGAGCTGTACCAATCTGAAGCCAGGAGCCAGAAGCCTCATCCAGGTCTCCCACACGGGTGCAGGGGACCAAGGACTTGGACCTCTACTGCCTTCCCAGGCCATAGCAGAGAGCTGGATCAGAAGTAGAGCAGCTGGGACTCAAACTGGCGCCTATATGGGATGCCAGCACTGCAGGTGGCAGCTTCATCTGCTACGCCACAGCGCTGGCTCCAAGGCATTTTTCAAAAGAGGAAATCCAAATGGCCACAAGACACATGAAAAAATGCTCAGGATCACTAGTCGTCAGGGAAATACAAATCAGAACCAAAATGAGATTTCACCTCACCCGGGTCAGAATGGCTCTCATACAGAAATCAACAAACAACAAATGCTGGCGAGGATGTGAGGACAAAGGTACCCTAATCCACTGTTGGTGGGAATGTAAACTGGTACAGCCACTGTAGAAGACAGTATGGAGATACCTCAGAAATCTGAATGTACACCTACAATATGACCCAGCCTTCCCACTCCTGCAAATTTACTCAAGGGAAATGAAATCAGCATATGAAAGAGTTATCTGCACCTCCATGTTTATTGCAGCTCCATTCACAACAGCTAAGATATAGAATCAACCCAAATCTCCCTCAAATGAAGACCTAATAACAAAATTATGGGATATGTAAAAAAAAAAAGAAATTCTGTCATTTGCAACAAAATAGATGAAACTGGACACCATCATACTTAGTGAGATAAGCCAGTCCCGAAAGAACAAATACCATATGTTCTCCCTGATCTGTGATAACTAATAGATCACCAAAACATGGATCACATGAAATTAACACTTTGAGATGCAACGACTTTGAACAGCCCTTGTCCAACTGCTGAGGAACAAGATTTTTCCCATACTATTTGTTGAACTCCTTTCTTAGTATAGAGTTAACTGTATGTGTATAAAGTTAATTGAAAATAGATCTTAGTACAAAAGAAGAAAGGGACTAGGAGAGGGAGGAGGAAAAGGGGTAGGAAGGTGGGTGGGAGGGCGGTATGGTGGGAAGAATCACTATGTTCCTAAAGTTGTATTTATGAAATGCAATTAAGTTTGTATTCCTTAAATAAAAGGTTTCTGGGGAAAAAAAAATCTTTTTTTTTTTTTTTTGACAGGCAGAGTGGACAGTGAGAGAGAGAGACAGAGAGAAAGGTCTTCCTTTGCCATTGGTTCACCCTCCAACGGCCGCCGCAGCCAGCCCACCACGCTGATTCGATGGCAGGAGCCAGGTACTTATCCTGGTCTTCCATGCGGGTGCAGGGCCCAAGCACCTGGGCCATCCTCCACTGCACTCCCTGGCCACAGCAGAGAGCTGGCCTGGAAGAGGGGCAACCGGGACAGAATCCGGCGCCCCGACCAGGACTAGAACCCGGTGTGCCGGCGCTGCAAGGCGGAGGATTAGCCTAGTGAGCCGTGGCACCGGCCAATAAATCTTAAAAAAAAAAAAAAAAGATCATGAGTCAGCACGGAATGACTGTAGAGACAGAGAACAGGCAGAGTGCCCAGGGGCACGGCGGAAGACATGACAGGGACATGGATGGAAGGAAGCTGGAGAAGCACTCCCAGCTTCGTCCTACGGGAAGAAGAGCTGAAGACAGGAAAGCTCCCAGAACGAGGGGGGGCCACAGGTGCAGGGCCCACTGAAGAACCCGGCTGGAGCCACAGCTGGGTGGCAGGGGCTCGCCCTGCACAAGAACAGGCACAGCAGGTGGGGCCAGACTGTGGGGCCCTAGGTGCCACCCCAGCCTAAGTCTATTGGCAACGTGCAGCAGTACATGGAGGGCACCACCACCTGAGCTTTGTTCTGGGAAGATGGCTCCATCTAAACTCACCCCCAAGCCAGAGACCACACCAGCCACTAGCAGTGCTGAGGAGACTATACTGAAATAGGAGGGAGGCGGGAGGCCCCGCAGTGCTGTTCCAGCAGTATGGAGCCTGGCACAACGTCCATGGACTGTGCACCCCATAATAGTGCACCAGTCCCTCAAGTGGCCGAGATGGGGTGGCACCGGGGAAACAGTTGTTTCTCATCCAGCCCAAAGAGCACGGCTGCCCCCAGTTCTCAAGACTGAATAGTGGAAAGAACATACACACGCCCGGAGGAACTCACAGCATCTCCCAGTTGGTCTGGGAGGGGGCTGGCAGAGAAAGGTGCAGAGCCAGTGGGTCTGTAGGCAGAACAAAGGCTTCTCAGGGCCAGCAGTAGGGGCAGCCGGCATCAGAATCCAGGCCACTACCAGCTGCAGCCTTGTCTGGTCCCTCAGGGTCAGTAACAGGGCTAGCAAATGACCTCAGAAAGCTAGAAGGTGACCATTAGGTCTAAAAGCCAGAGGAGGCCCAAGGAGTAATCACCATTACCCCATTACGCTGGAACATCCCGAGCCGTGGGACAGGGCTCGCTTCTTCGACACAGCTGGTCATGCTCCAGAGGCCTTATCGCCGCCCAGCAGCCTGCAGGGGCCTTGAGGGCTGAGCTAGAGCAGCGGGGCACCCCAGCCCAGCCTAGGCTGCTGTGGGCAACGCCTACCCACAGGTGGTGAGAGGCTCTTGCCGGCAGCTCCCCACGTCAGGATGCAGCTGGGCTGGGGGAGGAGGCAGACAGCCAGTTCGCCCTCCCTTCTGTTTTCTCCTCTTCTTTTTAAAGTAAGCAAGTACACACGGTTGAGTTCTCAGGCACTAAACACTTGTTCAGTTGAGGCCCACGAGACACTGGCAGCAGGTGACAGCCCACGTACTCGAGTCCCCGCCATCCAGGTAGGAAACTGCTGCAGGGCATCTGGAGAGCTCTCTCTGTCACTCTGCCTCTCAGGTAGAGAAAATAAATAAAAGTCTCTCCCAGATTTCAGCACCAAAACCAAAACCAAAACATCAGTCTCTTACCCATAGAGGAAAAGAATTTACTTGGAGAACAGTCTACTACTGAGGTTCACTTTTTCTTGGAATGAAGGCTGTCCAGATGGTGCACACTGCAATAGCCTCTGCTGTCACTTTCAAGGGAGCCGCGGGGAAAGCAGCACCCGCAGCACATCACCTCTCCAACCTGCTGACCGAGCACTGGCCTGCGTGTGCGGAGCAGCTGTCCTGTGCTGGGCACAGCTCCACATGCTGAGGAGACACATAAGCGTGGCCTGCAGCCTAGTGCAGGGCACACCCACTTTTTTTTTTTTTTTTTTTCAGATTTAAAGGTCACAAACCTATGTCCCACATTTAGACCAAGTGACAGAGGCAGCTGTACCAACAGTACTATTTCAGGCAGTTCTTAGTGGCAACCTTATCTGAAAATATATGAGCCCTGAACACTCTATTTTTTTTAAAATACTTATTTATTTGGGATCAGCATTGTGGCATAGTATGTAAATCCACTGTATGCAATGCTGGCATCCCATATGGGCACCAGTTTGAGACCTGGCTGCTCCACTTCCGATCCAGTTCTCGCTTGGGAAAGCAGCGGAGGACAGCCCAAGTGCTTGGACCCCTGTATCCATGTGGGAGACCCAGAAGAAGCTCCTGGCTCCTGGCTTCAGACCAGTCCAGCTCCAGCCGCAGCAGCTATTTGGGGAGTGAGCCAGTAGATGCAAGATCTGTGCCTCTGTCTCTCTGTAGTTCTGCCTTTCAAATAAACAAATCAATCTAAACAAATTACATTACTAAAAAAAAAAAAATCAATTTATTTGAAAGGCAGTGGGTTACAGAGAGAAAGGGAGAGACAAAGAGAGAGATCTTCTATCTGCTGGTTTACTCCTCAAATGACCATATAACAGCCAGGGCAGGGCCGGGACAGGCTGAAGCCAGGAAACTGGAACTCCATCGAGATCTCTCATATGGTTGCAGGGATCCAAGCACTTGGGTCATCTTCTGTTGCCTTCCTGGGGAAAATTAGCAGGGAGCTGGAATGGAATCAAACCAGCACCCATATGGGATGCCAGCATTACAGGCAGACTTAACCTACTGTACCATGACATTACTCCCCCAACATTTTTTTTAAAAGATGATGTATTTGAGGGGCCAGTGCTGTGGCATAGCGGGTAAAGCTGATGCCTGCAGTGCTGGCATCCCATATGGGCGCTGGTTTGAGTCCTGGCTGCTCCACTTCCGATCTAGCTCTCTGCTATGGCCTGGGAAAGCAGTGGAAGATGGCCCAAGTCCTTGGGCCCCTGCACCCATGTGGGAGACCTGGAAGAGGCTCCTGGCTCCTGGTTTTGGATCTGCCCAGCTCCAGCTGCTGCGGCCATCTAGGGAGTGAACCAGTGGATGGAAGACTTCTCTTGCTCTCTGCCCCTCTGTAATCTGCCTTTCAAATAAATCTTTAAAAAAAATCTTGCATGTTAATAAGACAATCATATTCCTTAAAAAATAAAGACTATATATTTGAAAGGCAGAGTTACAGAGAGTAAGAGAGACAGAGAGCTTCCAGCTGCTGGTTCATTCCCCCCAGATAGCCACAAAGCTAAGGCTGGGCCAAGCCACAGCCACCTATGTGGCTGACAGGGGTCCAAATTCTTGGGCCATCTTTTACTGCTTGCCTAGGTGCCTTAGTAGGGAGCTGGATCACAAGTGGAGCAGCCAAGACTCAAACTTGAGCTCATATGGGATGCTGGCATCACAGGCAGCGGCTTAACCTGCTGAACCATACTGCCCACCACCACCTCCCATCCACAACTCTTAAGGGGGGGCAGCATGAAGCATATTAAACACGAGTAAGAAGCCCATTTAACCTGAAGAGTAGCTAATCACACTCCTGAAATCCAGTACCTCACCAACACCATCCTGGAGCAGGCAGGGCACAGGTGAACACACACATACCTAATTGAGAAAGGTCCAGCCTTGTCCAGTGCATGCCTGTGGGGCAGCTCTTGGAGAGAGTCCTGATAAAGACCTGGCCAAGGCTGTCCAAGGCCCACAGTGCATCCTGGCAGGCGGCGTAGGCTCTCATCTCGGCGTCAGGGGGCAGCTGCACTGTGGAAGGGCGGCACTGTGCGCTCTGGGTGCTGATGCTGCACAGGTCCTTGCTGCTCTGGCACAGCCACAGGGAGCTTCCTGCAGGAAAGGTTCACGCTGATCACCCACCATCTTCACCAAGCCCCCACCCCAAAACACACAAGGCAGCCTTCGCCCTACAATTTTTAAGATTTTATTTATTTGAAAGGTAGAGTGACAGAGAGAGGGAGAGACAGAGAGAGACTGATCTTCCATTCTCTGGTTCTTCATTCCCCAGATAGCCAGGATAGCCTGACACCAGGAGCTGCATCCAGGCCTTCCGTGTAGACCACCCTCTGGTGCTTTCTCAAGTGCATTAGCAGGGGTTGCATCAGGAAGTGGAGCAGCCAGGACTGTAACTGGCAGCCATATGGGATGCCGGCATTGCAGGCACTGGCTTTACCCTGCTACGGTGTGACACTGGCCCTGGCAACCTCTGCCTTCACCCAGACGCAGATGCTGCTCACTCTGTCACCAACGCAGGCAGAGGGAATACCAGCTGGTTACAAGAGACAAGCCCTGGATACTTCAAATAAACAGAAGGAAAACCAGGCCTATGAGACTTTAAGGTTATAACGCGGCTTGGCAGCTCTGGCCTCTCGTTCACAATGAGCTGGGAGTGTTTAACTTGAACAAAGGCAGCAGAGTTTTTTAAATAAAAATGCTATATCTCCCCACGAGCAAAGGACAGCGTGCTCAGGACCCCGGAGGGAGCAGCCTCACCGCACAGAGTGCCCTGGTGCTGTCCCTGCTCTTCCAGTGACGGGGAGGCTGGTGCTGCAGCAGGGTTAGGAGCTGGGAATCCTGCTCTTCCCATTCTCCCCTCAAAGATGACATCCTTTCATTCCCCTCACCCGCTGCGGAGCCCTTCCCAGTAATCTTTGGGGGAATTAAAACCTCGGTGATAGAATATTAGCTGAAGCCTGTGCCAGATCTGTTTGGAATTCAAATTCTTTGGATTGTGGAAACCTAAGGGCGTGGGTATGCCGTGTATTCAACCAGCAGCCACGGGCAGGTGGGCAGGCGGCCCCCAGCAACGCACACCAGCACACCTGCAGCACCGGCGTGCAGCACCAGTGCACACCGCAGGCGGTCTCCCCTCAGTGCAGGGCAGGTTTTGCTGCCGTGAGAATCTGTACTAAACTCAGGAAGTAACTGTCTGTCCTCACAGGTTTCTGGACTTCAGAACTGTGGTCAGAACACCCTGGTGAGTGAGGAAGCGACCGTTTACTGCCCACACTGCTCATGTGTCAGCAGGACCAAGGGCTTGAGGAAACCAGACTGCTTCCTTGTAACTGAAGACTTGGAGGCATCTCCTCTAATCACCAGTGCAGTCATGAGAGGATGCTCCCACTTCCTTCCCAGAAGTCACCTAACTGCCTGGGCTAAGCGGGCAGCGGGGCTCCACACCGCCTGCTCTGAGTTCTGTCCAGTTGCAAGTCACCAGAAACTATGCCCCTACAGGGAAGGCCTGGCCAACCAGGGATACAAATGGGGGACACGAGTTAGCCAGAGGCTGTAATAAACAAGACACAAAGAAACTGCTAGGTGGTGAGAGAGGAATTCACAGGGGAAAATGGGAAGATGCCCAAGGAAGTTGTAGCCTCTGCAACGTGTGTCTGCCACAGGCCCACTGGCCCACCGCATGGTCCCCTCCTTCAAGCCACTCTGCTTAGACTCTGTCTGCTTCTCCACATGCAGTCCCTCCCCTCCCGGTGGCTCTCCTGGGCAGGCCCATCTGGCTACGGGCTTTCCTTCAACGGACAGGGCTGCTAGCCATGACCCTAGCACATTTCTGCGCTGGTTTCGCCACAGCTGAGTCCCCGTCATCCCTCAGGCCGTGGTCACAGTGCCAGTTCATCCAACAGGTTTCTCAACCAGGCTGAGACCCACCTTCCTTGGCGGGAGCAGCAGAGGCCAGCACGAAGGCCCACTTTGCTGCAGAGGCTGTCCCGCGGGGAACGACATTCTTCCAGTAAGTGCCTGCGCGGAACAGAACGGGAGAGCAGGTCAAGGTGAGCAAGCGACAGGAGCTTTACTTCCAGGTGACAGGCGGGCTTCAGAGCCTCTTAGAGCTAATTCTGCTTCATCCTAAAGTCCTGGCCAGAAGCGCTGCTTTACCTCCTCTGAGCAAAGTTCAGGGCGGGCTCGGGAGGCCGTGTGCGGAAAGGAGGGGCTGGGGACATTCACAGAGCAGGCGTCACTGCAGAAGCGAAGCCCTGTGTGGGCTCTCACGCACACTCACAGGCCTGGCTGCAATCGTGCATTTGCAACAGTGGCAATGGTTTCATCTAGGAAATAGACTATAAGGTTTGGGTAGATCTTTTCTTTTCTTCTTCTTCTCTTCACTTTCTTTCTTCTCTAAGATTCATTTATTGTTTGAAAGTCAGAATTAGAGAGAGAGGGACAGAGAGATCTTCCATCCACTGGTTCACTCCCCAGATGACCACCAATGGCCAGGGCGGAGCTGGGTCGAAGCCAGGACCCAGTCTCCCACGTGGGCAGCAGGGACCAAAGTCCACAGGCCATTTTCCACTGCATTTCCCAAACCACTAGCAGGGAGCTGGATGGGAAGTGGAGCCGCAGAGACATGCACAGGCTTCCATACTGGATGCTGGCATTGTAGGCAGGAGCTTTACCTGCTACGCCAGTGCCAGCCCTGGACCTTTTCTCTTAAAATATGAAATTATTAACACAAAATGAGAGCCATTTACTTTTCTTAATTTTTTCTTTAATCTGAGAGCGAGTGAGAGACGGCAAGCGTTATCTCATCCACAGGTTCATTCCCCAAATGCTGGCAATGGCTGGGTCTGGGACAGGGTGGGTTGGAGCTGGGAACCAGGAACGCAATCCAGGTCTCTCCTGGGGTGATGGAGGCCAATATCTGAGCCACTACCACTGCCCCTAGCATCTGCACTGGCAAGCAGCTGGAGTTCGGAGCTAGGGCCAGTTACCAACCCAGGTACTCCAGCTGGGTCTCAGCGTCCCAACCAGCATCAGCCCAACTAACAAGTACCCACTCCTCCAGTTGCTTTAAAAAAAAAAAAAAAAGATTGGCCAGCGCCGCGGCTCACTAGGCTAATCCTCCGCCTAGCGGCGCCGGCACACCGGCTTCTAGTCCCGGTCGGGGCGCCGGATTCTGTCCCAGTTGCCCCTCTTCCAGGCCAACCCGCTGCTGTGGCCCGGGAGTGCAGTGGAGGATGGCCCAAGTGCTTGGGCCCTGCACCCCATGGGAAACCAGGATAAGTACCTGGCTCCTGCCATCGGATCAGCGCGGTGAACCAACGGCAAAAGGAAGACCTTTCTTTCTGTCTCTCTCACTGTCTACTCTGCCTGTCAAAATAAATAAATAAATAAATAAATAAACAAATAATTTTTTTTATTTATTTATTTGAGAGGTAGAACTCCAGACAGTGAGAGGGCAAGACAGAGAAAGAGGTCTTCCATCCACTGGTTCATTCCCCAAATGGCCACAACAGCCAGAGCGGAGCTGATCCAAAGCCAGGAGCCAGGAGCTTCTTCTGGGCTTCCCGTGGGTGCAGGGGCCCAAGCACTGGGCCATCTGCTGCTGCTTTCTCAGGCACATTAGCAGAGAGCTGGATTGGAAGTGAAGCAGCCAGGACTCAAGTCCATGCCTACATGGGATGCTGGCGTCACAGGCGGCAGCTCCACCCGGTACACCACAACACTGGCCCAAGCGATTCAAGTTTTAGGAATGACGGATTTTTTTTAAAAAAGAAGAGAAACTGATCACGAAGCATAAAAAAGTTCCAGTGGCACCATATTATCTTCTCAGGTTGGGATCTTTAGCTCTTTAAATGCTGACTTACAAGTGAAGCTGCCTATGAGACAATGAAATCATGAAAGTAAAGTAGTTCTCATTACCTACGAGACTACCTTTGGCGACGTGGAATTCATTCTTGCCTGAGGAGATCCACACACCACTGTTGTTGACCCCCAGCAGGCTTGGCTGGCACTGAAGCTGCTGAGACCAAAATGCCATGCGCAGTTTATCTGCCACCTTCTCTACAGGTGCTTGGGCCACCGTAGCCACCGAGTGTGTGGCGTGGATGATGGTCTGGAATAAGCTGCACTGGTCGAACACAACGTAGTCTGTGATGCTCACCTGGAGGGAGGAGGCGAGAAAAGCCCTGTAGTCAGTGCAGCTCTCAGGGCCCACTCTGCCTGCACCACAGCACACTGCTCGCCCACATCTTTAATTCTGAGTTTCCCGATACAAGAGCACCAAAACCTTCCCCCACACTTGCACACAGGTGCTCGTAAAGGCCCCCAAGTGTAGCAGGATACCCTGCACTGACTGCAACCACTTCCAAGGTCTGGATAAGAGGGATGGAAGAAGATGGTCACATTTTTACACACTTTTATATTCTGTGGTCTGTTACAACAGGCACATTTATTCTCGTGTTTAAAATCACCCCCTCACATCTTTTCAAAAGTCTTTTATTCTAAGAGTGAGAAAGACTAATTTCCAATGGACAGTATATAAAACTTAGGTTTTTAAAAGTAAGTAGAGATGTGATGATGATGATCATAAAGGTGCCAGGCCCAGCACAGACCAGGCTGTGGAGTGCATGGCCTCTGCGGCGTTCCTGAGCAGCATCTGCAGACACAGCCCAGGGCCTCTCTCCGAGGGAAACTTCTCCCTGTCTGGCAGTGATCCTAAGTCAGGTCTTCAGGGATGAGTCGGAATCTGACTCTCTGCAACTGTCACTCCTCCTCCTGCCCTGTGTCGCTGGCTGCAGAGAACAGCATGAGCACCAAGGCCCCGCTCCGAGGACAGCCTCGTGCAGGCCATGTTCCCAGATCACACGTTAAGATGCTTATTGTGGGAAAACTGATTTATAACAAGCAGAAAAAGAAAATAAGTGTAAGTCAGTACAGCCGCCCCTTGGTACCTACGGGATAAGAGTTCAGTCCCTACGGATCCCCAACCTGATGGATGCTCAAATCTCTTTGCGAAAGTGGTGTAGAATTTGTACATAACCAATACACAGCCTCCTGTGTGCTTTGAATCATTTCTTATAACACCCAAGGCAATGTAAACAGCTGTTGCACTGTATTGTTTAGTAAAAATAACAAGAAAGAAAGTTTAAAAACATCAGTGGTCCGTGTCGGGTTGCCTCTGAGGAGGTAGACTGTGTAGATACAGAAGGCCACCTGCGCTGTGTTATGTGGACAAGTGCTTCCCGTGGCCGTCAGTGAAAGGACAAGCCCCGACCGAGGCGAGGGCGAAGGGTTTCAAGTTGCCCAGGGCCTCTGCAGAGCCTGTGGCCTTGGTCAACATGCTCAGGAAAGCTCGCTGGCAGGCCGGCCAGCAGTCCCCTGCACTGTGTTCTAGAATGAGCTATGGGGACATGGGCGTCTGCAGTCCTCCTCCAGGACTCAAAGCATGCACTGCTATGTGACAGCCAGCTCAGGGAACCGTGCTTCCTGGGGGGTGAGCTGAGTCCAGCACTCCCCTCAGCTGGGAGCAGTGGTCCTGTGAAGGCTACACACAAAGTCGATGACAGACTCACTCCCAGCACCAAAAATGTGCAGATGAGCAAAATGCAAATTACGAGAAAGGAAAGTTTAGCAGCCACACATAACACTGGCTCTAGCAGTACAGAGAAGTAAGTCTTACAGGGTTTACTACAGCTCTGCTTCCAAGCACCTCCAAGATGGTTCTTTCAAATTAAATTTCTCTAATGTAATGTTCTGAATATTGTCATAAAGTGCTATCTAGTTTTCTTTGTGCAATTTAAAAATAGAATTTAGTATTACACGTATTTGTGTGCATAGGTATATGGCTCTAAGTACACAGAAAGTCCTTTTAAACTGTGTAATTTAATAAATATTAGCTAGTGTAGCAAACTAGAGACACATGTGTATACTGCAGATTCATCAAGGAGTAAACACAACTCATTCTCCTTCATCCCCATCTGCAAGACCTAAGAGCAGCCTTCAACAGGCAAGTCTGAGGAGTCTGAAAAAGTGAGCCAATGGAGGAGTGGCGTTTCAGAGACGTGCGCCCTTCCCAGCTGCCGCCCCTGTCCCGGGAGCTGCAGCGACACTAACGGAGAGCAGCCACCTACTTCTCCGAGAATCCTGAGGCTACTCTGGCTGGGACATCACACCAAAAGCAGCCTGGTATATCCCCCCCCCCCCCCCCCCCGCATCATTTCCTTTTCTGGGAGTGGGTGGGGAATTCTCTTCCTTTGTTGAAATACCATTTACTTCTAGATTTTTCAAACAAGGAGAGACGTATGAGTTTTAATTGTGGGTTGGGTTTTCAAACCTACTATTTCCCTTCTTAGCATGTCAGCTCAGAATTCAACATCATCATTACCGAGGTCTTCAAATGGAAATCACTGGATTTATTCAACCTAAAACAATTTATAACCAACACTAAGGTAAGTAAATATGAATTATTGAAGCAAGAGAAGTTATTTCCTGTGATAAAAAGTTCTTCATGTTTTTAATGTACTCAAACACAGGAAAGTTCACTGCATCAAATATTGAAAGGAAATACTACTAATTCAGTGCTCTCTCTATGGAAAAGGGATACCCACCTGCCACCAGTGGTCATCATCTCCTTGGGGCCTCTTGGCTGTGATGCCGGTTCTGAACCACAGCTTTCCGTGGGTGTCCAGGGCCCAGAGGGTCTGCTGATCCCCCAGAGTTATGCACACAGGTTCCAACGCTTGCCTTTCACTGAAAATGAACACAATAGGGGAGCAGCTGCCCCAGCCTGCGCAGTGTGGCAGGGAGCAGACTTGATGGTCTACACAGGGCTGTGCTCCACACCCTCACCCAGACTGTCCACATGGCTCCCACTAGACTGGGGGTGGTGAGGGCAGGGCTGAGTCCCAGCCACCTCAGCTCACCCAGCCCCCAGCATAGTTCTGGCTCACAACAAACACTCACCGAAGACTGTCAAACTCAAACCAAGATTAACTTAATCTAATTCTCTAAGGACTAGATCTTTTGTTTTTTAAAAAGACTTATTCATTTACTTATTTGAAAGGCAGAGTGCAATGGGAGGAGAAGGAAAGATGGAGATAGGTAGAGAGAAGGAGAGAGAAGGGGGTGAGAGGGGAGCGGGAGGGGGAAGGAGAGAGAGAGAGAGAGAGAGAGAGCGAGCGAGCGAGCTAGCTTCCATCTGCTGGTTCACTCCCCAAATGTCCACAACAGCCAGACCTGAGCAAGGCTGAAGCCAGGAGCCAGGAGCTTCGCTCCATCCTGGTTTCCCACGTGGCTGGCAGGGGCCCAAGCACTTGGGTTATCGTTTTGCTGCCTTCACAGGTGCATTGGCGGGAAGTTGGATTAGAAGCAGAGCAGCCAGCACTCTGATATGGGACGCCAACGTTACAAGCAGTGGCTTAACCCAATGCTCCACAACACTGGCCCCTAAAGACTAAATCTTTAATGGTGAAAAGTAAATTAACAAGTTACAGTTCAGTGATAAATTCCAACTGAATATAGTGAAAATAAAATATATTTGGGGGCAGGCATTTGGACCAGCAGTTAAGACACTATTTAAGATGCCAGCATCCCACCTCAGAGTTCCTGGGTTCAATACCTAGCCCTGGCTCCTGACTCCAGCTTCCTGCTAATGTAGACCCTGGGAGGCAGCACTGACAGCGCTAGTGGTAGGGTTCCTGCCACCCAGGGAAGACCGGCAATGAAGGCAGTGAACTCCTGGCTCCCATTTCAGTCCCAGGCCAGGCTGTTACTGGCCATCTTGGGAATGAACCAGTGGATGGGAGCGCTCTTCGTGTCCCTGTGTCTCTCACTGTCTCTCAGATTGGAAGGAAAGAAAGGAAGTTAACAAAGTTAAGGAAGAAAGGAAGGAAAAAATACTTAGATCTGCAACACTCCCACACAAATGACCTGAAGGGAACTCCACGAAGCTCGCGACCCCACACGCAAGGTTACAGAGAATGGCAGGGATTGTAAAGTGAGCACTGTGGGCAGAGGTGGGCAGAGCTGGGCAGAGCAACTCCACAGTGGGGCTGCTGCTGTGGGCTCCGACAAAGGCATACCACGAATGGGACCAGGGTCTCTTTGGGGCTGGGCTCTGCCCAGAAAGGCTAGCACAGGTGCCCTGCAGTCTGGCTGACCAGAAGGAAGGGGGCATGAATTTGTCCCCTTACCCCCTGCAGTTGGTTACCTGATGATGTCACACGTCCACTGCTCCCCTTCTGGACAGAAGCTGCTCACACCTTCCCGGTACAAGAGGGCCCGCTGTTCCGTCAGCGCCCACACCACGCTGTTGCGAGCTGTGACCTGGGCCAGCGGGTATGGACAGTCGACCCTGACAGCGCGGGCACAGGGTCGATCCACGCTGAGACCTGGCAGGAACAAGGAGCGAAGCCCCTGGCAGTCATAATCAACACTTGGCTCCTCATTTGACTGCTATTTTTTCTTTCTTCATAATGGGTGCTTTTTCTTTTTAAGGCTTACTTGACACAGCATGGCTCATTCTGCTTAAGTGTCCCATCTAGCTGAAGCAGGTTTGGACATTCTAGAAATGTTTGGAAGGAATTAGAGCACTCTGGTGTAATACAGTGGCTTGAAAAGTTCAGAAGGAAGAATATGAGACCCAAGGGCCAGACAGTGGCTAGTCCCAGCCAGGAGGATGTAGGGCCGCCTGGATGCATGGCCACCCTTGCGCTACACGGCTGTGCACCTCAGAGCCTGGGGGACAGTGGGACCTCAGCTGCTGCGGGACACCCAGGCATCCCCTGCAGAACGGCTCCCCTTCTGCCACGCCCACCAGTTTTGGGTTCCACTGCTGAGACAAACCCTCAATTCCCAGATGAAATCAGGCCTGTCACACTGTAAGGCTGGGGCGGCGCCAGGGCTCAGGGCCTCTTCCTGTCCAGGAGTCCTTCCTCCCAGCACTACTGCCAGTAAAGCATATTTAAATGAGCTCAGTGACCAACCCACAGGAGCAGGCAGAATAGCAGTCACCCACAGTCCTGCATGAAATTAGGTCTCAGCACACAAATCTGTGCCCCAGCTAGTCCGAACTGCACACTTGGCAGTGCGGTCCCTCTGCTGGCGTGCAATCACCTGTAGGAATCTGACGCAGATATTCCTGAGCCACACTGCAGAGACTCTGCTAGGAGGCCAGGGTGGGGTCTGGCTCGTCTGAAACCACTGCCTTGCTGCTTTCTCCCACAGTGCTGGTTAGAGGTCACCCACCCCTCACCCCAGATCAGAAACACAAGCCTTCTCCATCATGAACAAAACTCAAATGTGCTGGAAGCTGGATGTGCCAGCACCGGGTCTGGAGAGACAGGGCCAGCATGCAGCCTAGGAGGCTGGCAAGGACGCCCACCAGGGCTCGGGCTCTTCCTCATCTGCCCGACAGTCCCGTCAGCAAGGGCTTTCACTCTCAAGAAACATCCTTGGCTGATGGCTCACAACAGACTAACCAGCAGTATTAAATGACTAGACAGTCGATGGTTCCATAAATCCACTACCCTTCCCAGATACTGACAAATCACACTGTTTCTGGAAAAGCATTTCCCATTTTGTTGACAGTCCATAAATACTGACTCTCATTATAGTTTATTTTTAATAAACAAGTCCCACTGTGCCACTTTCAGCAGCTGGAAGCTCCTCTAAGGAAAGTTTCCTTGGACACGCTGAATTGTTTTTAGAGCAAATTATTTCTTGTGTTCTTTCCACAACCTGCATGTAAACACAGGTACAGGAGCTGGGCTTTGACCTGAAAGAGATCCAGCCTCTCAAGCTTCAAGGGGAAACAATTCTAATGCCATTTCCTCTTAAGCTTGGATATTGCAGAGTAAGTGACAAGTGGTGGTCAGCCACAGGAATCAGATTCTGCTTCTCAGCTCACTGCATGGTCCTATCCATTCTGAGCCTCGGTCTGTCCCAGGCGGAATGTGTGCCACTTGCAGGAAACTGCTAATACATTCCCAAAGGCAAGTGCTCTCTCTCCACAAGCGTTTTCATTGTAAGTGATTTTAGCCTCCGAATCACCGTGATTTTAGGAGTGTTACTAGCAAGCTGGGTGCAGACAGGGGGCCATGGCACCAGCTCCAGGGGCAGTCAGCAGGGGCCTTGGCTACCTGTCTGCAGGTACAGATCTCCATTCGTCCTGATGATCCACGCTGTGTCATCACTCAGGGCCACAAACACTGCCTGGGGCAGGGCTTCATACCAGTGCCGCTTCCCCTTGATGGTCACTTTTCCACACGCAAAAGCTCGATTAGATTTCTGTTCAATCTTCCAGAGAAGGGCTCCTGCGGAAATAGAAGTGCTATTCACTGTAAATAAATACTGGAATTACCTACAAACTTTACTCTGGGCATTGTGGGAGAGAGATTTCTAAAATATATCCTTTTGCTTCCAGTCCAATGGGTCAGAGCCCACCCAGCTGTGGCTGAACCCTACCTAGCCACTACCCACCAGCTGCACAGCTTTGGGTATCATATTGTTGATGTCTGCAGGCCTCACTCCTTATCTGTGAAATGAGGATCACCACTGTCTTTTCCTCTGTGGGTTCAAAAGGAGGCACTAGGGTTGGCATCGAGGCAGAGCCAGCTAAGCAGCCACCTGTGACACCTGCATCCCATATGGGTGCCAGTTCAAGTCTCGGCTGCTTCATTGCCAATCCAGGTTTCTGCTGGTGTGCCTGGGAAAGCAACAGAAGGTGGCCCAAGTGCTTGGGCCTCTGCATCCACGTGGGAGATTCGGAAGAGGCTCCTGGTTTCGGCCTGAACCAACCCCAGCTGTTGTGGCCATTTGGCAAGTGAGCCAGCAAACGGGAGATCTAGCCTTTGTATTCACTCACTCTCACTTTCTCTTTTTCACTGTCTCCTTCAAATAAACAAACCTTAAAAAAAAAAAAAAGGGTCACTTTGATTAGCTAAATGGAAAAGATACACAAGGGCCAGCGCTGTGGCACAGTGGGTAAAGCTGCCACCTACAGTGCTGGCATCCCATGTGGGCACCAGTTCGAGTCCTGGCTGCTCTACTTCTGATCCAGCTCTCTGCTATGGCCTAGGAAAGCAGTAGAAGATGGCCCAAGTGCTTGGGTCCCTGCACCCACGTTGGAGACTGGGAAGAAGCTCCTGGCTCCTGGCTTCAGATTAGTGCAGCTCTGGCTGTTATGGCCAACTGGGGAGTGAATCAGCACATAGAAGACCTCTCTCTCTTTCTCTGCCTCTTCTATCTCTGTGTAACTCTTTCAAATAAATAAATAAATCTTTTTTTAAAAAAAAAAGATACACAAAAAGCTGAATGTAAGCTGAGTGCATCCACTTCCACCAGGAGAGGGATTCCGAGGAACACAGATGAAGGAAGAACAGGGAGGAAGAGGGAAGGTCAGAGAGCACGGCAGATGGGGTGTGGCACAGGCCGAGGAGGGCGAAGGTGAGGAGCCACCAGGCGATGGCCATTAGTGCAGCTCTGCTGGCCAGAAGGCCTACTGGGTGGCCACGCCTATGGCACAGCCTGAACGTGGCACAGCATGAGAACTCTGGTACCCTCCCAAGAAGGGCCCTGGAGGCTGTCTTTACTGAGACTGTTAATCTCATGGAGGTATAAAGTTCTAACTCAAGTCACAAAGGACTGAATGGTTTAGAAACACCAGTGATTACTATAACCTGGGAAGAACCAAAGTCTCTAAATGGCTAGGGAGATGGGGCCAAAGGTGAAGGAATCCAAACGGGGAAAAACTCAAACGCACAGTCTCATGCAATCAGCTAGTGGAGCAGCCTATTATCTCAGCCTCCAAGGAAAACAGTTTCCAAACAAGCAGTGAAAGAAAGCAATGAAATGCTGAAAAAGCCAATAATTTGGGACCAGTGTTGTGGCATAGCGGGTAAAGCACTGCCTGTAGTGTCAGTATCCCATGTGGGCTCCAGTTCGAGTTCTGGCTGCTCCACTACCTGTCCAGCTCTCTGCTATGGCCTGGGAAAGCAGTGGAAGATGGCCCAAGTGCTTGGGCCCCTGCACCCACGTGGGAGACCCGGAGGAAGCCCCTGGCTCCTGGTTTTGGACTGGTGCAGCTCCAGCTGTTGCAGCCAACTGGGGAGTGAATTAGCGGATGGAAAACCTCTCTCTCTCTCTCTCTCCCCCCTCTCTGTAACTCTGACTTTCAAATAAATAAAAATCATTTTTTTAAAAAAAGAAAAGCCAATAAGTTAAATAATGACAAAGAGGGGGCAGGTGTCATGGCACAGCAAGTTAAGCTACCACCTGCAATATCAGCATCCCACACAAATGCCAGTTCAGGTCCTGGTTGTTCCACTTCTGATCCAGCGCTGGGCTAATGCGCCTGGGAAAGTAGCAGCAGATGGCCCAAGTGCTTGGGCCCCTGCCACCCATGTTGGAGAACTGAATGGAGTTCCAGACTCCTGGCTTTAGCTTGGCCCAGCCCCAGCTGTTGTGGGTAGTTGGGGAGTGAACCAGCAGATGGAAGATCTCTCCCTGTGTCACTCTGCCTTTCAAATAAATACAATCAATCTTAAAAAAAAAAAAGTAGCAACAAAAACCAGAAATAGGAAGAGAAATTTAACCTGAAGCATACTGAAGTTAGAGGACAGGGTCAGAGCTCTCTACGAACCGAGTAACATAAACACTGTATGCCACCTCCCTGCCCCCCTTCCACTGGAACACACAGAGAAGGACCAACATCGAGAAAAAACAGGCAGCAAATACTCGTGCCCAACCCAGATAAGGGAGGGAGTCCAGCAGAACCTCATTCAGACAGTGTCTGCTCCAATTTACTAAAAATGGCCTAAGCATGCCAGGAAAGATGGATGTCTGTGCCTTTCAATCAGGGAGATTACTCACTCAAGGTATACAGTGAATTAAAGCACAATTTCTCAAAAGGAAGCCAAATAACTGGAACACACTGAACCTACCTACGGGTCCCTCTTCATTAGTTCAGCTGCTTTACAGCAACACTGGAGAACGACACAGTACCTTTGTAAGGAGCTAGCATATTACTAACTTATCTAAAAATCCCCTCAAAATTCAAACTATCTTGTAACTTATAATAACAGGCTCATGTGTAGGAGTCAGCATCGTAGTGTAGTGGGTGGGTGAAGCTGTAGCCCATAACGCTGGTATCCCACATCAGAATGCCAGTTTTTGTTGTTGTTGTTGTTGTTGTTTTTTGACAGGCAGAGTGGACAGTGAGAGAGAGAGACAGAGAGAAAGGTCTTCCTTTGCCGTTGGTTCACCCTCCAGTGGCCACCGCGGCTGGCGCACCGCGCTGATCCGATGGCAGGAGCCAGGTGCTTATCCTGGTCTCCCGTGGGGTGCAGGGCCCAAGGACGTGGGCCATCCTCCACTGCACTCCCTGGCCACAGCAGAGAGCTGGCCTGGAAGAGGGGCAACCGGGAAAGAATCCGGCGCCCCGACCGGGACTAGAACCCAGTGTGCCGGCGCTGCTAGGTGGAGGATTAGCCTAGTGAGCCGCGGCGCCGGCCAGAATGCCAGTTTTGAGCCCTGGGTGCTCCACTTCCAATCTAGCTCTCTACTAATGTGCCTGAGAAAGCAGTGGAAGAGGGCCCACATTATTTGGGCCCCAGGCACCCACAGGGGAGATCAGGATGGACTTCCTGGCTCTTGGTTTTAGCCTGGCCCAGTCCTGGCCATTATGGCCATTTGGGGAGTGAACCAATGGATGGAAGATCTCTCTCTCTCTCTGTTTCTCCCTCTCTGTCACTCTGCCTTTGAAATTATATATGTGTGTGTGTGAACATATATATGAAAAAATACATATATGTTCGTGTGTTACTAATGCAATGAATACAAACCACAAACTCAAACTGAACAGTTATACTATTAACTGATGTCAAAGGATGCAACGAACATCTGCAGAAGACACTCCTCAAAGCTCTGGAAAAAGGGCAGCCTGCTGAGCACACAGCCCGGAAGCCTGGCGGGATGCTGGAGCTGAAAGCTGAGTGTAGAGGGCCCACTTCCGGGCTGGGGAGCAGGGAGTGCACAGGCGAACCTGAAGGGGAGACCGCCACCTGCTGGACAGCATCTTCAAACTTCTGCCAGCGCAACCCGGCACTCGGCAATGCGCTGCAGAACAGGCCGCCTTTGTAGTCCAGGCACCAAATATACTTCTCGGAGACCGCCAAGCTGAGGATGCCGTAGCCAGGCCCAGAGTAGCCCATCCAGCTCTCTGCAAACTAACAACACAGAGCCGTGAGTTCCATGGCAGACAACCCGGTGGCATTTGTTGCGCTATTTTCAAAACAAAGTGAGGAGAATGTCATTCAACAGATACAGCTGACAGGCCTTTGAGAAGCCAGGCCCAGGCCACCCATGCTAACTGTGGCACCTCTATGTTTCTATAGAAACATTCTGGAATGAGAGCCGTTGCTCCCATGTGAAGACCCCATGATGGCCCTGGGTGGTCCTGGGCCACAGAGACCATCCTTCCTAGCTCGATGAAGACAGCATCACATTACATTAAAAGCTGCATCTCGATTTACACAGAGCTGTTATCTTCAAAACACGCATGCAAATCAGCTTGCTGTGTTATGGAGTGTTAGGGGAAGCAGCAGGACCGCTGTCTTTTCCTCATCATATTCTTTCAAGCACTGTCCACACGACATGTCTTGCAGGAAAGACTGGTAGTACTGTCTGACTTAATTTTGTACATTAATTTCATTGCTAGGATCCTTTTTAAAAAATCAAAGCTAAATAAAGTCCTTGCACTTTAACAGGTTGTAAAGGAAATCAACATTTCTGCACAAATGCCTACCCCTTCTCACCATGGCAAACCTAATCTGCTCCCTGACCCCCAATCCCAAAAGAAAACCCACAGCACTGTTTGGCCTTCCAGCTACCTGGAACACGGACGGGATGAAAGGGACAGGTTCCCACTCACCTGAGAAAGGGCTTTTCTAGATCCCTGGCTAGAATTCCAGTACTCACAGCCCAGACAGCATCTGCTTGGCTAAGACCCAGCCACTGGGTGGCAGCCCTGCGGTGGCTTCTCACAGCCTTGTACTTAGCTCAGCACCCCACCAGACTCCCCCTCAACCGTGCTGCTCTCAGTGTGTATCTGGCTCCCCGGGGACTCTGGGCCCACGCTGCTACCTCTGCACCGTAGGATCCCTAGCACAGATGCAGGGCCAGCAGGCAGGGCCAGAAAGAATGCAGATGCTCGAGGGAGGCCTGACCTCTGGCATTCCGTCCCAACCATTAGCAGGGCGCTTCACTTGCGAGGCATGATGGCACAGAGGATGCGGGCAGCCGGCCGAGGAGCCCTCTGCCCTTCACTGGCTATGTGCCTTGAGCAGGCCAGCAAGTGCTCTGAGCCTCTGCTGTAAAATGGCAACAAAAGCCCCTGTTCCCAGTTTTTGTACTGAGAGGTAAATGAGTACGTCACTACTTCAACTACTTAACTCACTACTGGTACTGAGAGACTCAGGCGAAGCACACAGGGCTGTGCGTGCAGTCAGAATCCACATCTCACTTCCATAGCTAGCAGGAACGGTATACAGGTTGAGTACCCCAATCCAAAACATCAAACAATAAATACACCAAAACCCCAAGCTTTCTGAGTACCAACATGATGCCACAAGTGGAAAACTACACCTGAATGACCTCCTGTGATGGGTTAAAGTCAAAATACAGGTACACTTGGGGCCAGCGCTGTGGTGCAGCAGGTTAATCCTCTACCTGTGGTGCCGGCATCCCAATTGGGTACCAGTTTGAGTCCTAGCTGCTTTACTTCTAATCCAGCTCTCTGCTGTGGCCTGGGAAAGCAGTAGAAGATGGCCCAAGTGCTTGGGCCCCTGTACCTGCATGGGAGACCATAAGAAGCACCTGGCTATTGGCTTCGGATCAGCATACCTCCAGCCGTTGTGGCCATTAGGGGAGTGAACCAACAGAAGGAAGGCCTTTCTCTCTGTCTCTACTTCTCTCTGTAACTCTGTCTTATAAATAAATAAATCTTTTAAAAAAATACAGGTACGCTAAAACTCTTGTATAAAATTACCTTGAGGCAGTGCGGATAAAGTATACATAAAACATAAACAAATTTTATGTTTAGAGTTGGGTCACCCCCCCCCCGAAAAAAAAAAAACTGCATTGTATATATGCAGATATTGAGTCTGAAGCCCAAAACATTTTTGGTTCAGGCACTTCAGATAAGGGATATTCAACTTACAATTCAAGTTAGTTTTTAAACCAAATACATTTAGTAATAAGTATTTTCCAAGGGAAAAGTACTTTGAAAATAACTCTGCAATATAAAAATGCCCAAGAACAGTTAATAAGCATCTCCTAATTACATGGCTGGATGACCTCCGGGAGACTGGACACGCACAACCTGCACGGGGTACGGGAGGTGGACTGGGGTGCAGAGGACCTCAGGGCTGCTGTCTGGAGATCAGACAGCAGTTCTCTAAGTGGCTGCAGGCCCTGCTGCCTGAGGACGCGTGGGGAACCCACGCCTCCAACCCGCTCCAAGGCCTCTCCTACCTTGATCAGCAGTCCTCCCCTGAGACAGCTCACACTCACAGCCACACCCGCCTGGCCTTGCTGGGTCACAAGGAACAGAAAGACGCTGCTTTCATCAGTAAGAAGGGTTACTACTGAGGATGGCCAGCAGCAGCTCAAGCCGTGTAAGGGCTCCAGTGCTGGAATCCTGAAACCCAGACTTCAAAACATGCATGGCCTACACAGTTTTTAGTAGGAATATAATATAACCAGTCTCACCAGTGATTATCCTTAAGCAAGAAAAAAGCCACAGGTAACCAAGTGCCCCGTCTGAGCCCACGAACCTGATCTGACTTGAGCAGTCCAGTGGCATCCACTCCTGGCTGGCTCAGGTCTTGCAAGGAGCGACCAGCTCCAAGCTCGGTCACACTCGTCTCTGAGGAGGAGGAGGGGAGCCCGTGGGCGTAGATGTCCTCCTCATCACTGGACATCAGCGCTTGATCCTGTGGAGGTTGCTCAAGCCAAGGCTCGTGGGTACTGGCCACCAAGGCAGAGACCACAGGAGGCAGCTGTCCATGCGTGCTCCCTACGTCACACCCTGACGTGGATGTTTCTTTCTGACCTGTGTCGTCCTCCACGACAGCATGCCAGGGACTTGAGCCGAGATGGCAAGGGGCCCCAGTGTTGCTCAGGGTGTCCTGCTCTGTGCCAGGCTCCTTGGTGTTGCCTTCATCAACCCTTGTTGCAGGCAGCCCCTGCTCAGCACCTGGGCTCCAAAAGAGGCTAGACGGCTCCATGAGTGGTCCTGGGAGTGGGGCTTCAGAGAAAGTGCCTTGGGATGCATGGGGTTCTAGGATCACAAGTGCCTCAGCAGGGCCATTTTGTTCTTGGAAAGATAAGTGCTCAATGTTCAGTCCATCATCCACGGGAAGAGGCTCCTCTCCGAGCCCCGTGATGTCACTACCTCCCACATCTTCCCTTGAGAGCAGAGGCAAATCCAACCCTCCACTGAGCGCCTCCACCTCATGTATGCGGTCACACTGTGGAATGTTGGTTCTAACATCATTTTGTTCAGCCAGGAAATCAGGGGCAGACGCAGGTACCTCCAGGATGCTAAATGCTTCAGGGTCATTATGCTCCCGTAAGACCCCGTTCATCTCACCACTGAGGCTGCTTTCCTGGTCAGGAGATTCTGTGCTCAATGGCTCCACACTGCTGCCCAGGACACTGGGGCTCATGGACAGCAGGTCTGTGTTCAAGGACTGCGGGCTGTCACCAGGAAACTCAGAGCAGGGAGTTGATTCCAGCGAACTGTGATGGGTACTTCTGGTTCCACCTTCTAATTTAAAATAATAACATCCAAAAGAAGTTATGACTCTACATAAACATAAACAATAAGACATTAATTAAAAATAAATTTTTGGCTCAAGAAAGAAATGTATTTTAACTGAAGGATATTTACTTGATGAAGAATAAAACTTTTATGTACAAATTACCCTAGAGCAGTGATGTTTTACATGGATGCAAAGAATTCACACACTGATGGCATCAGAAGGAACAAGGGGAGAGGACATCATCAGGTTAAGCCCCCAGCCGTGGTGCCAGCATCCCACATCCCAGCTGCTCCACTTCCAATCCAGCTCCGTGCTAATGGTGGGAGACTCGGATCAAGTTCCACGCTCCTGGCTTACAGGCATGGCCACTGTGGCCATTTGGGGAGTGAACCAGTAGATGGAAGAGCTTTCTTGTCTCTTCCTCTAACTCTGTAGCTCTTTCAAATAAATAAATCTTAAAACAAAAGAATAACAAGGGGAGAAAGTGGATGTTCAAACAGATCAGACTGATTTTTGAAAATCAGGAAGATGCTCAGGAATTTGGTAACAGTTCCCGGCAACATGGCAGTGGTCCTTAGCTAATGAGGCTTAACAGGTAACAAGCATTAAAATGTTTGAAAAAATTCAATGTCAGGGTTGGAACTGTAGCAGCAGGCCATCCCTAGTTCAAGTCCCAGCGGCTCCACGTCTGATCCACCTCCCTGCTAATGCACCTGGAAAAGCCGCGGAGGACGGCTCCAGTGCTTGAGCCCTGCCATCTGTGTGGGAGACCTAGTGGAGTTTTGGGCTCCCAGCTTTGGCTTGGACCAGCCCTGGCCATTGTGGCTATTTGAGGAGTGAACAAGCAGATGTATTATCTCTCTGTCTCTCCTTCTGTTGCTTTGCCTTTCAAACAAATAAATACATCTTTAAAAATCAACATCACATCTCATATTTAGCAACATATCCAATACTAGATGTACAATACCCCACCTATATACCCAGCAAAACTCTTCCTATTTCAGTGCCTTTCTACCCATCTTCATTGATTCTCTGGTCTAACAAATGATATACATGGACAAATCAACACTTTCATTTAATTACTGAAAGGCTGGACAGGCATTTGGCCTACCAGGCCAACATCCCATATGGAGTACCTGGGTTTGAATTTAGGCTCCACTACCAATTCCAGCCTCCTGCTAACGTGCACCCTGGAAGGCAGCAGATGATGCCTCAAGTAATCAGTCCCTGCAACCCACATGGGCGACTCAGATTGAGGTTCCAGCTCTCAGCACCGCCTGGCCCAGCCCTAGCTTGATGAGTGAACAAGCAGATGGGAGCTCTCTCTGCCTCTCAAGTAAGCTAAAAATATTATTTTCATATTTCCATTATAAAATAAATAAAAACACTGAAGAGTAGAAATCCCAGGAGGCAGTGCTGTGGCGTCGTGGGTAAAGCCGCAGTCTGCAGTGCCAGCATCCCATGTGGCACTGGTTCAAGTCCAGGCTGCTCCAATCCCCATCTAGATCTCTGCTATGGCCTAGGAAAGCAGTGGAAAATGGCCCAAGTCCTTGGGCCCCTGCACCCTCATGGGAGATCCAGAAGAAGCTTCTGGCTCCTGGCTTCGGACAGGCTCAGCTCTGGCCGTTGCAGCCATTTGGGGAGTAAACCAGCAGATGGAAGATTCTCTCTCTCTGCCTCTGCCTCTCTGTAACTCTGCCTTTCAAATAAATAAACAAATCTTAAAAAAAAAAAAAATCTCAGAGCTTAACTTTACGCGAGTGCGCAGATGTGAGACTGCAGAGGTCATGGACATCTGTGTGCATGGGTGCACATGTGCATGTGTGCACTGTTTGCTAATGTGTGGAATATCTCACAGTAAAACTCCTCTGGGGAGAGAGTGCAATTATTTCTGGAAGGCCCTCTGCTTTTCAATGAGCAGGCAAGGCTCACTCAGTGAGAAGCAGCGTTTCTATCATGGGCAGATATGCAACGTCCACAGTGTGGGAAAACGCCCCCACGTGAGCGCGTGCGTCAGTGCGTGCTACACCACCAGTGGTACCTGTCTTCTTCCTCCTCCTCTTCTTTTTCACCCTGATAGGTTTCACAACAAGCTCCTGGTCAAAGTCTTCCGAGCTGATGACACTGAACCTCTGTGAGGAGGGCTGGCTGCCCTTTCTTGGCTCAGCTGTGTGGAGCCCGGAGCCACTGTCGGTGGAGTTGAGAGAACTGCTCCTGCTCCGGGGCTCGCTGGCTGCCGAGCTGGCCACAGAAGAGCCCCTGAGCCTTGTCTCAGACGTGGTGGCCCCTGCTGGCTTCTCCACTCGCTGTGCTTGGGCTCGCTCTGAGCATCCGGATGCGTCCAGGCCATCTCTCACTGAGAAAGAACAGTCTGGATTTACTCCTCTTACCTAAGAGTAAGTCGCTCTGCACTGACTCAGGTTTGCTAGCTCTAAAAACTGGCTATTGCAGAGAACTTGAGGCTCCAGCCTGCTGAGGAACTGAACAATTCTAGACTCACAGACACCAGCAAAACTAAAGGAATGGCAAAGAAGATCCAAGAAACGATTTTGCTTCTTCAGGAAGCTCTTACAAAAACCAGTAAAACGGGAGCCAGCGTTGTGGTGTAGCCGCCACCTGTGATGCTGGTATCCCATATGGGTATCTGTTAGAGTCCCAGCTGCTCTACTTCTGATCCAGCTCCCTACCAATGTGCCTGGGAAGGCAAAAGCAGATGGCCCAAGTGCTTGGGCCCATGCAACCACATGGGAGACCTGAAGAAGCTCCTGGTTCCTGGCGTCAGCCTGGCATAGCCCTAGCCATTGTAGCCATTTGGGGAGTGAACCAGTGAACGGAAGACTTCTCTCTCTGTCAAATATATAAATAAATGCTAAAAAAATGGTAAAATAATTCACCATAATCATCTCTTGCAAATAACTCAACAGGAAGGGGGTACAACCAAGTATGCAACATTTTCTACTTTAATTCACAAATTCTTTATATAGGAGAAATGACTGTGTATAAAAATGTATTTAATTACACTTCATACCTAGACTATGCCTTGAATATACTTTAGTATTACTCAATGGATATTTAAAAAACATATGTGCACCTTTAATTAAATTAGTTGAAATCAAGAATAAAAGGTAACTGCCATGACAACAAACTCAAGGCAGAGGACGCCACGGAGGTCAGTGTCCTTAGAAGCAACAAGTGGAGGGAGGATCAGGAGGCAGAGTGAGAGTCCCTCTGCTGTGTGCAGTGAGCTTCCCACTGCAGAGCGCATCCGCCTCTCCACCCGACACCAGAGGGCCCCAGAGCCACGACGGGTCCAGGGGCAGGATCCTCAACACAAGCCTTCAGACCACCTTTTTGTTAGCAAGTAGCCACTGTGTGCCCGACACTGTCTAGGGGCTGGGAGCTGGCAGTCAACGTACCATGGGAACCCCTGCCCTTCTGCTGTCAACATTTCACTAGGGGGAGCCCTCACTGGGGCAGGCTGTAGGCCATGGAGTATGCACTGGAGGGGCAGGACTCCACTCTGACACGGCACATCAGAGATCATACAAGTTAAGTTAGTGGTAGATCTCAGGCTAGAGCTGCACTATCTAAACAGCCACTAGTCACAGCTACCAGTTTAAATCCTAGTCAATTAAAATTAAACAAAATTTAAAATTCAGTTCTCCACATTTCATGTGGAAAAGAAAGCTTAACAGACTTGGAGCATTTTCACCAATGAAATGCTAGAACCCGCCACTACATGCACCGTAACCTATATTGCCTTTTGATCACAGTTTTAAAAAGTGACCGTGCTCAGACGTAAAATCAGCACTTGTTCATTTCTTATAAAAACTATCACACTGTGGCCGGCGCCGAGGCTCAATAGGCTAATCCTCTGCCTTGTGGCGCCGGCACGCCGGGTTCTAGTCCCGGTCGGGGCGCCGGATTCTGTCCCAGTTGCCCCTCTTCCAGGCCAGCTCTCTGCTGTGGCCAGGGAGTGCAGTGGAAGATGGCCCAAGTGCTTGGGCCCTGCACCCCATGGGAGACCAGGAGAAGCACCTGGCTCCTGCCATCGGATCAGCGCGGTGCGCTGGCCGCAGTGTGCCGGCTGCGGAGGCCATTGGAGGGAGAACCAACGGCAAAAGGAAGACCTTTTTCTCTGTCTCTCTCTCTCACTGTCCACTCTGCCTGTCAGAAAAAAAAAAGAAAAAAAAACTATCACACTGTAATGCTCATCCCAACTTGTCTCATGACATAAGGGGTGTGTGGTAACAAGGAGGAAGAGGACAAAGGGACCTGCAGAGCTGCCGCTGCCACTGGCAGGACAAGTGTACCAAGGAGCCCCAGGCACATAAAGCGCTGTGGCCGGTGTGCATGTGTCCATGAGAATACATGTTATACTCTGTTCATTCAAGCATGGGTCTGCAAAAAGTGTCCAAGAAAAGTCAAAAGCAGAGAAAAATCAATCTTGCAAGGAGGAACCATGTGAGGAATAAAACACATGCCCCGTGACAGATCTAAATGCTCTGAAACCTGATGCAAACTAGTCCCTCCCACTGCCTCCTGCTGAGTGTCAGGGACCATTCATTGTTTCTCGTTCTTTCTACTCATCCAACCTCATACTTCCCACACTCACAATCCAACTCTACCAAATCTGAAATGGTGACCTGGGCCTTAAAGTAACTTTCAAGACAAATACTGTCAACATTATTTTAAGAATCAAAGGAAAACTTCCAAATACCTTCTTGCTTAAATAAGCATGCAATCACTGAACTAGCCAAACAGTGGTAAGTTTTATATTTTGCAAACTGCAACTGCATACCACAGAGTGCAGCATTTCTCATCAAATACATGGTACTTTCTATATTGAATACAAACCTATTGATGCTAGTCCTTCAGGCTTGCTTGAAATCCTTATAATGTTCCTATCTCCCTTTAAGAAAAATATTTCATTTTCTGTGCAGGAAACAGACACAATATCACCTGATCCTTCCAAACCAGCAATTGTAGCCTGTCAAAAACAAAAACACAAAACAAGGTTATTTTAACAGTTCAAAACATGTAAGAAAACATGCAAAAGTCCAAAGAAGTTAAATCATACTTGTACTTGCTTAGAATTTCAGGAACACTCTCTGAGTAATTCAACCTAAAGTTATAGTCTCTGTCTTATGTGTGACCTCAGCAGTAAAATGGTAAAACACAAAGAGAACAAAACAGACTAAGAGCCTGGCCTCTCCCAACCCCTACGGAGTGAACACACCCTCCTGGCAAGGCGGGGGCCTTTGCAACCTGCGGCCTGCCTTGGCCATGCTTCTCACGTGCAAAGTGTTGTCTACACCCCAGCCGGGTGCTCCACGTTCATGTGTTCGGCCTGTGCTACTGTCTGCATGGATTCTTTTCCTGTCCCTGTTCACTGGGGAGTTCCGATGCCTTTCATTCACCCCTCCCCCAAAGAAGCCTCCTTGACAAGTCTGCCCTCCACGGGCGCTGCCCAGCCGCTCGCAGCTCTAAGCGAGCCTGTGTGGCATGTCATTCACGGGTCACAACAGGCGAGACTCCCCCACTCTGTGCACACCTGTAAGAGCCTAGTGTTCCCTGCAGTTCACAGCTTTGGAATGAATAGTGAAGAGAGGATTCCCCAGCATCATCTGAAAACAGACGACAACAAACACAAGGTGTCCTGAGCCCACAGCAACCACAGGTGCTGCTTTTCAGTGAATGACGCAGGTAAAAGTTCACTGTACAACACAGAATGTCTAAGTTCTTTGTTAACTTTTCAAAAACCCCTGATGAGAGGCCAGAAACATGATGTTACTTTCTGAAAGCTGCCAATCCTGCTGCTGCCGGAGTTCAGACTGCAGTGGTGGCCAGCAGCGCCTCATCACGGATGCCCTGTCTTCACTTCCTGCCTATAAAATGAAGTTAATTATTCCTACTACATGAAGCACTGGGTAAGTATTTAGATGGAAAGAACTGGTGCAAAATTACAAAGTATCTTGATGCCATTAATTAATAAGTACATTTATGTTCAAAAGGCATAGAGCTGAGTTCTCTATATCCCGGGGAAGAATACAAAAATGTCTTTCAGGCCGGCGCCGCGGCTCACTAGGCTAATCCTCCGCCTAGCGGCACCGGCACACCAGGTTCTAGTCCCGGTCGGGGCGCCGGATTCTGTCCCGGTTGCCCCTCTTCCAGGCCAGCTCTCTGCTGTGGCCAGGGAGGGCAGTGGAGGATGGCCCAGGTGCTTGGGCCCTGCACCCCATGGGAGACCAGGAAAAGCACCTGGCTCCTGGCTCCTGCCATCGGATCAGCGCGGTGCGCCGGCCGCAGCGGCCATTAGAGGGTGAACCAACGGCAAAGGAAGACCTTTCTCTCTGTCTCTCTCTCTCACTGTCCACTCTGCCTGTCCAAAAAAAAAAAAAAAGTCTTTCAAAAGACTGCTAAGAAAAGAAACAAAAGCAGGTATAAAAGGCACATTGGTGATCTCCCTTATCTAATACTTCCTGGGCTTCTGCCCCACTGCATAGAGAAGGAACCCAGGCTCATTCAGACAACAAATTCCTAGAAGGTTCTAGTCTGGATCTGCATTCTTGAGTCATTCTCTTTATACTAAACCAGTGTCACCAGGTTTACTTTCTGAAAAGAGGCAGTGTGGCAGGAATGGGCAGGCTGGCATGGTCTGGAGTCTGGGAGTGAGGAGTGAAGATGACGAGGTAAGGGGTCATCTTGAGAAAGGGCAAAAGCTGCACTCCTAAGACCAACAGAAACTAAGCCAAACAGCTTAAAAGATTTATTTATTTGAAAGACAGTGACAGAGAGATGGGAAGATAAAAAGAGTCGAAGAGACCTTCCATCTTCTGGTTTACTCCTAAAAAGGTTGGAACAGCTGGGCCAGGCTAAAGCCAGGTGTCAGGAGCTCCATCCAGGTCTCCTACATGGTAGCAGGGCCCCAAGCCCTTGGGCCATCTGCTACTGCTTTCCCAGGCACATTAGCAGGAAGCTGGATCAGAAGTGGAGCAGCCAGGACCTGAACCAGTGCTCTGATATGGGATGCAGGTGTTGCATGCAGTGGCTTACCACACTGTGCCACAACACTGGCCCCTAAACAGTGCTGTGAAAGCGTGTAAGTTTGTGTCCTGTGACAATCTTGCATCATCCCGATGTAAGCAGAACTGTTTCCTACAAGGCATGTCACTAAGGGCTAGATGTTTCCGCAGTGTTGAAATGATCCCTTGGGACACCTGTACTCCATAATGAAGTGCCTGGGTTCCATTATAGCTACGTTCTTAACTTCTTCCTACTACACAACACGGGAGGCATCCAGCAATGGCTCAAATATCTGGGTCCCTGCAACCCACAGAGAGACCTGAATGGAGTCCAGGCTCCTGGCTTCAGCCCGGCCCAGCCCTGGCTGTTGTAGGCATTCTGGGAGTGAACCAGAAGATGGACATTCTCTCTCTGTGCCTTTCAAACAAAAACAAACATAAACACTGAGACATTCCATTAAGTTAAAAAAAAAGCCAAAATAATATGGCTCCAGTTCAGCAAGAACAAGGAAAAACATGAGATGGAAAACAAGCTAAAGGCAGCGACGAGACCCGGCACTGCCCCGTGAGGGCGTGGGGACGCCTCTGCTCTGTTACTGCAGCTCTCAGGCTGCAGTCCTCAGCAAATCTGCTCTTCCAAATTTGGAAGTCAGAAAAAATGTGAGCCAACTAGATAATAAAGAACAAGTTTAATTTTATGCTTAAGTACAAAAAACCATAATTTCCTGGCAAGAGATAGGACTGTGAATATAAAAACCAAATCATTTTTTCAAACTTACAAAAAGTCCCAAGCCCTGACTTTGTCTACCAGACTGGCCCAAAGGAAAAAAATGGAGCATTAAAATCAACACAGTGGGGCCAGTGCTGTGGTATAGAAGGTTAAGCCTCTGCCTGTAGTGCTGGCATCCCATATGGCACCAGTTCGAGTCCCAGCTATTCCACTTCTGATCCAGCTCCTTGCTAATGGCCTGGGAAAGCAGTAGAAGATGGCCCATGTGCTTGGGCCCCCGTACTCATGTGGGAGACCTGGAAGAAGGTCCTGGCTTCAGACCAGCCCAGCCCCAGCCAATGCGGCCATTTAGGGAGTGAACCAGCAGATGTAAGACCTCTTTCTCTGTCTCTCCCTCTGTCTGTCTGTAACTCTTTTTCACAAACAAATAAATATTTTTAAAAATCAACATAGTGCCTTCTTTGGCACTGTGAGCTCTGAGGCAGAACAGCCAGGATCAATCTTCCCCTGCCTGCAGACTCCACGTACCTGGTTGATGGTGTCCAGGAGATAGATGCTGTATTCATTCCAACTCAACACCCAGCCTTCCTGAAAGAAACAGGAAACAAGGCCCAGGTGTTTCTCAGACAAGCTGCAACTTCCCCTGTGGGAGGGCTCCAGGCGAGGGTACAGTTCAAAAGGCTTCACACCTCCAGCAAAAACATCTTTTAGGATAAATGTGGCTTGAACGGTTCCATGGACGTCAGCCTTCCACAGCCGGAGCCCAGGTCTCGAGGCGTACAAGGTTAGATCGCTTTGCTTACAGAGTCCTGGTATAAAACAAGCACCAAATTTCCCAGTACTAAAATTAGAGGAAAGAAAGAAAAAGAAAATGCCAGACATGGGCTGATTTGAAGTGATACAGTTGTCAACCCCTGATGCTAACTATGACAAGAACTTTTGTCTGAAAGCTAAATGAGCCTCCCCCCACTTTACCTACTGCTTGACCACACTGTCACTCCTGTATCCACAGAGGTGCTACCGCGGCCTCCTAAGTGGACACCTGCTAGGCACAGCCTCTGGCTTCACGGAGGCCACTGGGCTCTTGCTGCCTCCTGTGGCTTGAGCTCCACTCTGCTGTTTACTTCCCACCACGAGCCGGAGAGACAAGTGTTACGACTAGGAGACAGCGGACTGCCGCCCTCCTGCTGCTCTGAAACTCCGCTCCATCTCACCACCCTGCACCACTGGGGCACACTGCCAAGCAGGCAACTCCTCTCCACTCCTGTCGCTGCCCCGCGAGCCCTGTGAGCTCACCGGGTGGGCCGTTTCCCTTCCAGGTGTCCCCAGGCCTGACCCCTGTGTTCCTTTAATAAATAATGAAATGGCTGGCAGAGTAGTATGAGTTGTGAAAGAACAAGAACCAGTGTGTTCCCAGGCTCCACCCTGGATGCAGGAACCAAACCCGCACGACTTACAGTGCTGCAGCTCTCTCGCGTGCTCGTGGTTCTGGCCTGTGTACCCAGCCACGGCCACCGGACTGGACGCTGTGCTTGTCACTCCCTGGCTCTTACCAATGGGATAGTCTCATATCTATCTATAGTCCCTGGCACTTAGTAGCGTCTTTCACTTTTATTCAAAAATAGTAAGATGCTATTTGTATTCTTTCGCCATTTGTTTCTTTTCATTTAACATTTTGTTTCTAAAATATATACTCATTGATAAAAAACTTTAGCACTCATTTTCACTGCTGCATATATTCCATAATTTATTTGCTTTCTTATTTATGAGTATTTATTATTTTTTCTCTTTTAATGTTTTAAAAAATGGTACAACGGGCATTTTTATACATATCTCTTACACAGGTGCTAAGAGTTTGTCAAGGATATTTTTCAGTGGAATTGTTGGGTTTTGAAACCATATTCAAATTTAAAAGGTAATTTTGGGGCTAGCACTGTGGCATAGGGGCTAAGCCTCTGCTTGCAGTGCCAGCATCCCATATGAGTACCAGTTCTAGTCCTAGCTGCTCCTCTTCCAATCCAATTTTCTGCTATAGTCTCAGAAAGGAGTAGAAGATGGCCCAAGTGCTTGGGCCCCTGTACCTGTGTGGGAGACCCAGAAGAAACTCCTAGCTTAGGATCAGCCCAGCTCTAGCTGTTGCAGTCATCTAGGGAAGGAATCAATGGATGGAAGACCTTCTCTCTGCCTCTCCCTCTCTCTGTAACTCTACCTCTCAAATAAATAACATAAATAAAATCTTAGGGAAAAAAGTAATTTCAGGGTTAGCACTGTGACATGATGGGTTATAAGTAACCCCTTGGATGTCCACATCCTGTATCAGGAGTACTCACTCAAGTCCCATTTGCTCTGCTTCCAATCCACCTTCCTGCTAATGCATTCTGGGAAGCAAGCAGATAAGGGCTCAACTGCTTGGTGCCAGCCACCCAAATGAGAAACCTGGAAGGAGTTCCAGGCTCCTGGCTTCAGCTTAGCCCAGCACTGGCTATTGCAGGTGTTTGGAGAATGAACCAATGTATAGAAGGAGTCTCTCTCTCTCTCTCTCTCCCTTCCTCCCTCCCTCCCTTTCAAGGAAATGAAAATACACAAACATTTTTAAAAAATCACATATTAAGGGGCCAGTGTTTGGGTGCAATGATTTACAAGGACAGCATCCCACATCATTCTGCAGGTTTGAATACAAGCGACTCTGATTCTGACCCAGCTGCTAACTGACGTGCCTGGGAAGGCAGCAGATGGTGAGTCCATGCCATCATCCATGCCTGGTCCTGGGTTGGGCCTGGCCCAGACCTGGCTGTTGCAGCCATGTGGGGAGTGAGCCAGCGGATGGAAGATCTTTCTGAATCTCCCTCTCTGTTATTCTGCTTTTGAAATAAATAAATCTAGGCCGGCGCCGCGGCTCACTAGGCTAATCCTCCGCCTAGCGGCGCCGGCACACCGGCTTCTAGTCCCGGTCGGGGCGCCGGATTCTGTCCCGGTTGCCCCTCTTCCAGGCCAGCCCTCTGCTGTGGCCAGGGAGTGCAGTGGAGGATGGCCCAGGTGCTTGGGCCCTGCACCCCATGGGAGACCAGGAAAAGCACCTGGCTCCTGGCTCCTGCCATCGGATCAGCGCGGTGTGCCGGCCGCAGCACGCCGGCCGCGGCGGCCATTGGAGGGTGAACCAACAGCAAAGGAAGACCTTTCTCTCTGTCTCTCTCTCTCTCACTGTCCACTCTGCCTGTCAAAAAAATAAAAATAAAAATAAAAAAATAAAAAAAAATGAAATAAATAAATCTTTAAAAACATATATATTTTTAAAAAGCCGATTTCAAACTTTCTTCAATGTGATTATAGCAATGTCAATTCTGTTTCACATCTTTGCCAACTCTCAGACTTGCGGTAGAATTCAAAGAGTTTCGCTCATCCCAAAGCCTTGCTGATGGTAGAAAGTGCACTGGCTTTAGACATGGAGATCTGGCCTCCATAACCAACCCTGCAGATTAAGAGCCGTGTGGTATATGTAGTGACTAAACTTTTCTGCACGCAGGTTCCTAAGCTGTGAACCACCCATAACTCCCATCTGATGGCTAAAAGCACCAACTGAATAAGACAACAATCTACTTAAAATACAAAACAGCAATGTCTGTGCCCTGCAGCTCCACAGCTCTGCATGAGGTGGCAGGCAGCCTGCAGCTAGGAGCTGAAGGAGTTAGAGAAAGAGTGTGGGGGAAGAGACAAAAAGAGAGATCTTCCATCTGCTTGCTCACTCCCCAGATGGCCACAACAGCCAGGGCCAGGCCAGGCCAGGCCAAAACCAGGAGCTTCATCCAGGTCTCCCAAATGGGCAGTAAGGGTCCAAGTACTTGGGCCATCTTCTACTGCCTTCCATGGTGCATTAGCAGGGAGCTGGATTGGAAATGGAATAGCCAGGGCTCAAACTAGCATTCATATGGGATAGCAGCATTGCAGGCAGCAACCTATCTCGCTGTGCCACGATGTTGGCCCCAATGGTGATCCAATTTTTACATGTTTTTCCCAATATTTATAGTACTTATTAAAACTGTCATCACTGATATAACCACAGCATTCATTTCAACACACTGTTTAATGAGTTTCTGTGTTCTGCAGTTTTTGGGGATGTGGGAACATGAAATAGAGTAAAGACAGGATCCCAGCTCCCTGCGAATGATTCTGGGAAAGCAGTGGAAGATGGTCCAAGTGCTTGGACCCCTGCCACCCATGTGGGAAACCCAGGTAGATTCCCTGGCTCTTGATTTTGGCCACTGGGGCCATTTGGGGAGTGAACCAGTAGATGGAAGATCTCTCTAACTCTGCCTTTCAAAAAAGTAAACAAATCCTTAAAAAAAGGAAAGACAGGGTCCCGTCCTGTCTCCCAGCACACAACGGACCACAACAGGCTCCAGAAAGCAAGGTGTCTGAGGTCTGAAAGCTGCTCATGGAGTGCAGAGCCGCAGACACGTCTGACTGGCACAAGGCAGGGAAACCTGACAGTGAGAAGAATGCTGCCCGGTGGCGAGGAGGGCACAGGCAGTGCGGAGACGGGAGCCGCACAAGCAGAGCTCTAAGAACTGTCAAGGGGCCAGAGCTCTGGTGCAGTGGGTTAACACCTCGGTCTGCAGTGTTGGCATCCCTATTGGTGCTGGTTCAAGTCCTAGCTGCTCCAGTTCCAATCCAGCTCTCTGCTATGGCCTGAGAAAGCAGTAGAGGATGGCCCTGGTGCTTGGGCCCCTGCACCCATGTGGGGGACCCAGAGGAAGCTCCTGGCTCCTGGCTTCAGAGCAGCTCAGTTCTGGCTGTTGCAGCCATTTGGGGAATGAACAAACGACCGGAAGACCTCTCTCTCTCTCTCTCTCTCTGGCTCTACCTCTCTCTGTAACTCTGTCTTTCAAATAAATAAAATAAATCCTTTAAAAAAAAAAAAAAACCTGCTGAAATCTCTGGTGAGAGGATTGGTAGGAGGCTGTTAAGCTGGGAAGAACCAGCTAGAGCCAACTGCAGCTTGCCCGAAACTGACCCAGAAGCTGTCCAACTGCAAAGTGATTCTGTTCTTGCTGATGTTGTCTGAACCGGACACTTTTTAAAATGCTTTCTTATAAGGTTAAGCACTGCAGGGTTCTAAGATCTTAAGAAATTTAATATAGTTTCTTATTTTGGTGGAGATGACCTCCAGAAAAATCACTGATGACTTTATGACTTTACAATGGTACTAAATTCTGTTTAAGGGCCACATTACCCTGAAGTGAGTGAGACAGGCATGGTGGCAGCAGGTTAAGCTGCGACTTAAATGCCCACATTCCATATCAGAGTGCCACGTTTAGTCTTCATTATTCTGCTTCTGAACAAGCTTCCTGTTAGCACATTCTGGGAGTCAGTAGATAAGGGCTCAAGCGCCTGGGTTCCGGCCACCCACATGGGAGATCTGGAAGGAGTTCTGGGCTCTGGCTCCAACCTGGCCAAGCCCTGGCTGTTGCAGGAATTTGGGGAGTAAACAAGCAGACAGAAGATCTCTGTGTGTGTATGTTTCTGTGTTGCTCTGCCTTTCAAGTAAATGAAAAAATAAAAACAAAAATCATAAATCAAGTGTTTTCTGGTTAACAAATTCTGCCATAAGGCAGTTTTTGTTAATCTTATGCCTAATTTTGGTGCCACAGACTGTGGTTGGGACGGCTAGGTTCTCTATGGTGTTCTGGGAGTAACACATCCACCGTGCAGTGCGAGGGGCCCCCCAGACTTGAGAAGAGGACAGCTTCATCGTCCTGGCCAGTGTCCCCACCCGCTGCACCTGTATCTGAGCTCTGCGACCCTGCCCTTCCTCAGAGAAAGCCTGCAGGCCTGGTTCCTGGCCACTCCGCACGGCTCCACTCACTGCTCTCCTAGCGATGCTGCACACAGCTCCAGCTGAACTCTAAAGCAAAGCTCGCTTGTTCTTCTGCCTCAAAGCTTCTGGTGGTTGCCCACACCTACACTGAGTCTGTGACAGCATTCCCCTGACACACTGGCTCATTCTTCTTCATCCTTCCTTGGCAGCCTCATTTCACATTCGAGCCTCAAACCTACCTACCTCTCCAGGGCCATCCCTCTGTTCTTTCAATGTCCAAACTGTGGCCCGGCTGGGCCTTGACATTTGCTCTTCCCGGAGGATGGAACGCTCTTCTACCAGCTCTCTCCATGCTGCAGGCTTCAGTTCAAACACCACTGGCCCACGGAGGCCTTTCCTGTCCATTCTACCTAAGAGACATCGTGGGGGCTGGCACTGTGGTGTAGTGGGTTAAGCCGCCACCCATGGCACAGGCATCCCATGAATGCTGGTTTGAGTCCCAATTACTGCACCTCTGATCCAGCTCCCTGCTAAAGTGCCTGGGAAAGCAATGGAAGATGGCTCAAATACTTGGGCCTCCGCTACCCACATGGGAGACCTGGCTTCAGGTCCTGGCTTCAACCTGGGATAAACCTGGCTAGTGTGGTCATTTGAGGAGTGAACCAGCAGATGGAAGATCTCTCTCTCATTCAAATAAATAAATCTTAAATGAAATAAAATAAAATAAAAGAGGCATCTTTCCCCAACCCCAGCAAGTCCCTAACAGTTTACTCTGTTCCTTTATACCATTCATTGTAGCTGATACACTTCTGATGGCCTTTTATTACTAATACCTAAAAACAAGCATACTTCAAAAAGTCTATATAAAATGAAATTTAAAGATATAAATATATTTTGGAGCCAAAGAATTCCACAGCCTATGCACAGTCTCTTCATAGTACACGTTTTCCATGATCTTTCTGAAGATTCCCCCACAGCAGAAAACAGACAAGCTTTTAAGATACAGTAGGTTAGGGCCAAGGTTGTGGCACAGGTTAATGCCGGCCTTCTGTATCAGAGTGCTGGATCCAGTTCCAGCTGTCTGCTTCTGAGGCAGCTCCCTGCTAATGCACCTGGGAGGGCAGCAGCACATGGCCCAACTGTTTAGGCCCATGCAACCCATGGGGGAGACCCAGGTGGAGTTCTTGGATCCTGGCTTCGGCCTAACCCAGATCTGGCTGTTGCAGCCATTTGGGGAATGAAACAGAGGATGAATATCTCTCTGTAGCCCTACCTTTCAAATGCATACATTCATAAATAGATGGATAAACACCTAGGTAAACAGACAGACATTTTAAAAAACATACAGTGGGTTAAAAGCATTCCATGCATTCTGTTATCCCTCACTTCTCTAAGGTTCCATAAAATATCCATTTTCCTGCAAAAGTGGACACTGTTAGTTTGCTTCTGCTTCCTGGAACAACGTCTGGCACACACAAAGCTGTCAGAAGTCCTGAGTACCAGGAGGCCACAGAAATTGCTCAGGGTTCCACACAAAAGGCTGGCAAGACCCACTTGAAAGGTTATCAGGTTTAAATCTCTCTTTACACTAAAGCTTCCTTCTAAAAGACACAACACAATAGGTCACTGACAGAAGAACAGGACAAAATGCCAGACCCAAGAGTGGGATACCGGCAGAGGAAGTCAGAACTAAGTTTTGTGGAACCACAAAGCCCAACCTGCAAATCCCACGGTTTCCAGGGGCCCACAGAAAGATTACTGCTGCGTTGAGGACAGGCTGTTGGTCAGCATCAGGTATTCAGCAGGAAGGAGGAGGCCGGTGGGGGGGGGGGGAGTGCCTGTGGCAGAAGGGCTGCCACGAGAAGAGGATAAACATCCACTGAATCACTATGAAGTCCAGGACACAGGAATGGGCAGCAACCACAGCCCAGAGCTGCCGCATCTGTCTGACGCCTGCCACCCTCCCAACGGCCTGGCACTGACAGCTCCACCAGCCCGAGTCCAACCAACGCCTACCAGTCTCACCTTGTCTGCTCTCCACCCTCCACAGGGCTTGTCTGAAACCTGCCCCCTGATTCTCTGAAAGCAGAAATATCATTTTACTGGAGGAAGAGAGACACAAAACAGAAACTCCTGTAGTTCCCTGGTCAGCCTACAATATGCTCATGTTGTCCTCTGCACCTCCAGTGCCATCTTGAATCTCTACTGGTTTATCCCCTCCCCAGGATAAAAAGCGGTCAAGTCCACCACTCTATAAGCCCCTATCCCCCCTAAATCTTGTGTCAACTGGTGGCAGAGTTTGAGGTTGAGGCGGGCACTGTGAAATGCAGGTCACCCTTGTGCTCCAGTTGGTCTTCTCCACACAATTGGTATGACAGGGGACCTGGAAATGACCCGATCTTCACCAGCCTTCCTCCAGGCAGCCACAGGTGGACAATCTCTCAACTTGACTCCTCTGGCTCCTTGGCTAAAGCATCCATCACACAGGCCCCATGCCTACAGGAAATCTTCCCTGACCCTCAGGCTGGCTAGAGCCTGTTTCAGCTCTCACAACACCCTGTATATTGCCCGCAACAGTTAAGATCATTGTCAACGAGGGTTCTGTCTGTTCCTTTAGGATGGAAGGCTCCCATCCTGCCCGCTGATCACATGCCCTCCAAGTCTGCTACAGAGCATAGAGGTGCTCTGTGAATACCTGCTGAATGACGAGTGAGCACCACCTGCCTGACTGCTCACCAGGGCTGCAGGGAGGGGCCTACACAAGGAATGGACACAGACCAGACCTCGGTCAAGGTTTCTCCAGACCATACCACCTCCAGGGGTAGAGTGGCTGCACCTGCAGGTTCCTGCAGCTCTGAAACAAGAGGAACTCACACCTCCTGTCTGCCCCAGGAAGAGGTGTCCTAGGTCAGCAAGCACAGGGCCACACCAGGAACCCCAGGTTTACAGACACTAGCGACTTGCATCTGGCAAACAAGAAATCTAACAGAACTTAAGACCAACTTTCAGAGCAAACTGAATACTTGTGGAGCTTACCTTTTCCTTGGTTGTGTTCCAATCTGCTTGACAGACTTTTCCTCGGTATAAAAAAGCAGACTTCTTTGCAAGGTAGAGACGAGCAGCACTTTCTGGCTATAATCCAGCTGCACAATGGAAGACGGCTCTTCTAACACCAAGTGGGAGTTACAGACTCCCTGTGAGAGAGCCCAGTTAAACCTGGCATCAGTGTTGAGGCACAATCACCCGACCTCCCTTAGGATAAGTAGCACCCTTCTGTGTGTCGTAGTTAGGTTAACTGGACTCTTAAGACGTAGACTTCAGTACCCTTCAGTCTGTCAGCCCACTATGTGCAACTGATTGGGAAAGTCCTAACTAACACACATGCTATATCAAGCTTAACAAAAACCACTTGCAAATCCACATAACTCCTTTTAAAATATATTCAGTAGAGAGCTCAAAGAATGCATAAAAACCTAAACAGAATTATGGCACACTTTCTAATGTATTCTATCATAAAATATAATAGACTGAGACTTGCTATAAAGTTATTGTGAGCAGGATCAGCTCTACAAGTGTATGTTATACTTTCCTTCCACAAAGAGTTCAAATACATTTTTATTTGAGAGAGAGAGCACGAGCTCCCATCCACTGGTTCAGGCCCTAAATGCCCACAGCAGCCAGAATGCCGAGGCTGGGGGCCAGGTCTCCCAAGCAGCTGACGGGGACCCAATCACTTGACATCTCTGCTGCCAAGGGTCTGCACTACCAGGAAGCTGCAATCAGGAGCCAGAGCTGGGGCCTCGGAAACAGATAAAAAAATGGCATGAAATACACAAGCTATATCAACATGAAATGAAATTATACACACACAACACAAACACACATATGCACCAATATACATGGGGACTTTAACGTGTCTGTGGAAAAATGGAATTAAGAGAAACAGTGGGTGCTGTGGTGCAGCAATTTAAGCTGCTGCTTGCAACACCTGCATCCATTTGGGAATGCCAGTTTGAGCCCTGGCTATGCCACTTCCAGCGAAGCTTCCTGCGAATGCACCCCGGGAGGAAGCAGCTGATGGCTGACGTCCTCGGGTCCCTACCACCCACAAGAAAGACATGGGTGGAGGTTCAGATTCTCGGCTCCAAAGGGCCCAGCCCGGGCTGTTGTAAGCATTTGGGGCATTAACTAGCGAATGGAACACCTTTCTTTCTCTTTTTCGGTTGTTCTTTCAAGGAAGTAAAAATAAATAAATAAGCATTGCTTCAGGAAGATATAAACAGGGCAGGCACTGTGGCACAGCATGTCAGGCTGCCTCCTGGGACACCCATATCCCACGCTGCAGCATTAGGTTCGAGTCCCAGCTACTCTGCTTCTGATCCAGCTTCCTGCTAACGCATATTCTGGGAGGGAACAGATGACAACTCAAGCAGCTGAGTCTCTGTCACGCACGTGGCAGAGCAGGAAGGGGTTCTAGGCTCCTGGATGTCGCCTGGCCTGGTGTGGGCTGTTGCAGACATTTCAGGTGTCAATCAGTGAATGGAGTATTCCTTAAGCTCTCCTGCTCTCACTCTTGCTCTATAGTTCTGCCTTTCAGCAAGATAAATTAAAATAGAAAACAGAAACCTCATTTCTCATCATAAGTTCCATCAAGTTTAAGACACTTAAAAAAAGACTTATTTCTTTATTTACTTGAAAGGTAGAGTTAGAGAGAGGCAGAGGCAGAGACAGAGAGGTCTTCCATTCTCTGGTTCACTCCCTCAACTGGCTGTGGTAGTAGGAGATGGGCCAATCTGAAGCCAGGAGCCAGAGCTTCCTAATGGTCTCCCAGATGGATACAGGGGCCCAAGGACTTAGACCACCTACTGCTTTACCACGCCATAACAGAAAGCTGGATCAGAAGTGGAGCAGCTAGGACTAGGTACTGTAACACAGTGGGTTAAGCCGCAACCTGCAGGGCTGGCACCCTGTATGGGCACCAGTTTGAATCCTGGTTGCTCCACTTCTGATCCAGCTCCCTGCTAATGAAGCTGGAGTAGCAGTGGAAGATGCCCAACTGCTTGGGCCTCTGACCTATGTGGAAGACTCAGAAGAAGCTCCTGGATTTTGGCTTTTGAGGAGTGAACTAGTGGATGGAAGACTTTCTGCCTGCCTCTTCCTCTCTTTCTATAAATCTACCTCTCAAATAATTAAAAAAAAAAAATAAGATCAAAAAAAAAAAAAAATCCGAGGGTCCTTGGGGCACAACAGGTAAAGCTGCAGTTTGCAGTGCACACATCTTATATGAGCACCAGTCAAGTCCCGGCTGCTCCACTTCCGATCCAGCTCTCTGCTATGGTCTAGAAAAGCAACAGAAGATGGCCCAAGTCCTTGGGCTCCTGCACCTGCATGGGAGACCCTGAAGAAGCTCCTGGCTTCGGATCAGCGCAGCTCTGGCCACTGCGGCCATTTGGAGAGCAAACCAGTGGATGGAAGACTTTTCTCTCTCTCTCTGCCTCTCCTTCTCTCTCTCTGTGTAACTCTGGCTTTCAAATAAATAAAGAAATCTTAAAAAAAAAAAAAATTTATTTGAAAGCCAGAGTTACGTAGAGAGAAAAGATCTTCAATCTATTGGTTTATTCCCTAGACGGCCACAATGGCCAGGGCTTGGCAAGGAGGAAGCCAGACCCCAGGAATTTCATCCAGCTCTCCCACATGCATGGCAGGGTTTCAAGCACTTGGGCCGTGTGCCATTGCCTTTCCAGGCCCACTAGCAGGGAGCTGGATAGGAAGTGGAGCAGCCAGGACTTGAATAGTGGCCATATGGGATTCAGGCAGCAGTTTAACTTGATGTAAAACAACGCTGGCCTCAGTGTTTTTTTTTGTTTGTTTGTTTTGTTTTGTTTTTGTTTTTGTTTTTTTGACAGGCAGAGTGGATAGTGAGAGAGAGAGACAGAGAGAAAGGTCTTCCTTTGCCGTTGGTTCTCCCTCCAATGGCCGCCACGGCTGGCGCGCTGCGGCCGGCGCACCGTGCTGATCCGAAGCCAGGAGCCAGGTGCTTCTCCTGGTCTCCCATGGGGTGCAGGGCCCAAGCACTTGGGCCATCCTCCACTGCACTCCCGGGCCACAGCAGAGAGCTGGCCTGAAAGAGTTGGGGCAACCGGGACAGAATCCGGTGCCCCGACCGGGAATAGAACCCGATGTGCCGGCGCCGCTAGGTGGAGGATTAGCCTATTGAGCCGTGGCGCCAGCCTGTTTTGTTTTGTTTTAAAGAATGTATTCAGGGGCTGGCGCCACGGCGCAGTAGGTTAATCCTCTGCCTGCGGTGCCGGCATCCCATGTGGGTGCCAGTTCTAGTCCCGGCTGCTCCTCTTCCGATCTGCTCTCTGTTGTGGCCTGAGAAAGCAGCGGAGAATAGCCCAAGTGCTTGGGCCCCTGCACTCGCATGGGAGACCAGGAGGAAGCACCTGGCTCCTGGCTTCGGATAGGTGCAGCTCCAGCCGTTGTGGTCATTTGGGGAGTGAACCATCGGATGGAAGACCTTTCTCTCTGTTTCTCCCTCTCACTGACTGTAACTCTACTTCTCAAATAAATAAATAAAATCTTTTAAAAAAAGGCATGTATTCATTTATTTATTTGAAATAAAGAGCTACAGAGAGAGAAGAGGAAAGAGAGATGGATCTTCCATCCTCTGGCTCACTCCATAAAAGACTGTAATGGCTGCAGCTGGGTCAAGCCAAAGCCAGGAACCTGGAAACTCACGTGGGTGTCCCATGTGGGTGCGAGGGCTGCAGCTCCTGAGCAAGCTTCCCTGCTTTCCCAGGTGCTGGACAGGACGCACAACAGGTGGGACTAGACCAGCATTCAAGGATGCAAGTGTTGCAGGCAGTGACCTAGCTAGCTGCACCATAACACAGCCCCCAATTTTGTTTTTTATATTAACTAAAGAAAAATAGGGCCGGCACTGTGGTGCAGTGGGTTAACGCCCTGGCCTAAAGTGCCGGCATCCCATATGGGCACAGGTTTGAGACCCGGCTGTTCCACTTCCAATCCAGCTCTCTGTTGTGGCCTGGGAAAGCAGTAAGAAGAAAAACTGGTGCCCTTTAAAGAAATTTTTTAGGTTAGGAAACAAAAAGTTAGAAGGTGTGAAATCAGGGCTATAAACTGGAGGACTAATGATTTTCCATGAAACTTTTTTTTTTTCAAGGTTTCTTTGAAAGGCAAAAGTCACCTTAGGTTGATGGCAGAAATGAGCAGGAGCACTGCATGGTGTGGTAGGTCTCTCTGGTGAAGTTTTCCAGGCATTTTTCTGCTAAAGCTTTGGCTTTCTTAAAACTCTCAAGAGGCAGCTGTTCCTACTTTTTGCCTGTCTGGAAAGTCACAAGCAAAAATGCCTCTGAGCATCCAAAAAAGCCATTGCCATGACCCTTTCCTCTGACTGGACCTCTCAGCCCCTCGGTAACCACTGCTTTGGTTGTGCATTGTTTTCAGGATTACACTGGTAAAGCCATGTTTCATCTCCTGTTACAATTCTTCCAAGAAATGCTGCAGGATCTTAATCCCATCTGTTTAAAATTTCCTTTGAAAGTTCTGTTCGTATGCAGTTGATCTGGGTGCAACAGTTTTGGCACTACTGAGCAAAAAGTTTGCTCAAATTTTTCAGCCAGAATTGTGAAAGCTGAACCAACTGTGATGTTTATGATGTTGGCAATTCTTTGTGCCATTAATCACTGATCATCTTCAATTAGGGGACAAAAACAGGTTAATTTTTTTCTCAAAAGCTGATGTGGGGGCTGGTGTGTGGTCTAACAGGTTAAGTCACTGCCTTCAGCGACAGCATCCCATAGAAGCTCCAGTTTGAGTCCTAGCTGCTCCGCTTCCCATCCAGCTCCCTGCTAATGCACCTAAGAAACAGTGGAAGATGGCCCAAGTCCTTGAGCCCTTGCACTCATGTGGGAGACTGAATGAAGCTCCAGCTTCCAGGTTTCAGCCAGGCCATTGCAGCCATTTAGGGAGTAAAACTGCAGATGGAGGGTCTCTGTCTCTGTCTCTGACTCTCTAATTCTGCCTTTCAAATAAATTAAAAATAAACCTTAAAAAAATTGATGTGTATGATTTGCCACTGTGGGCTTTATTTTCACCATCATCTATCCCTTCTTAAAATGACTTACCCATCCCATCTGTAAACTGCTGATTTTTTAGTTACTGTTCCCATAAACTCTTCATAAAGCCTCACTGACTATACCATTCTTCCACCCAAGCTTCACCATCAACCTGCTGTTTGTTCCTGTTTCAGTTCTGCAGAATGCACGCTGCCCTGCTAGAGCTCTTTTCACACTGATCCCGCCTCAGTGTCTCACATTAGAGCCTGCTTAGATGCACCATGACAAGTTTGTACAGGCTTCTTTTGGTGCAGAAAACTTTTGAAATCCATATAGTTTTTTCATAATATTTCAAATATTTCAAATATTTCCAGGAATTTTCTGAAGAACCCTAGTATCTACAAGCACAAAGTAAAATTCTCAAATGCATTTTACAGAATAAAGTGTAAAAAACCTGCTTCTACAAGTCACTCTTCGGGTCTGCATTGTGGCGTAGTGGGTTAAGCTGTCACCTGCAATACCAGTATATCGCATGGGTGCTGGCTGGTTCAAGTTCCAGCTGCTCCACTTCTAATCCAGCTCCCTGATAGTGTGCCTGGGAGAGCAGTGGAGGACAGCCCAAGTGCTTGGGTCCCTGCACCCATGTGGGAGAAGCTCCTGGCTCCTTGCTTTGGCCCAGCCCAGCCCAGCCCCTGCTGTTGCAATCATTTGGGGAGTGAAACAGTGGATGAAGGATCTATCTCTGTGTCTCTCCCTCTCTCTCTGTAACTCTTTTACATAAAATAATCTTTAAAAAATAAACAAAAATTAGTCACTCTTCTCCAAAAGCAGTTTCATGAGATGTTTGGCCTGGAAGTTAAGATGCAGGTTAGGACACCTGTGTCCCAGTATCAGCGTACCTGTGCTTGAGACCTACCTCTGGAACCTCACTCCAGCTTCCTGCTGATACAGAACCTGGAGGCAGCAATGATGGCTCAAATGGTTTTTAACCCATGTGGGAGATATAGATTGAATTTCTAGCTCCCAGCTTTGGCCTTGATCCAGTCCCAAAGGTTGCAGTCATTTATGAAGTCTATCAGCAGATGGAAGGTCCCCACCCTCATCTCCACCAAATGAATTAGCATCACATGCATTTGTGGGATAAAAGAGGAAGCATGACCGGATTTACTGGTAAAAACTCTGAATCTGCACAGACTTCCAGAGTCCCGACACCACCAGCAGGAAGGGGAACTCCATCACCAAAACAGCACGGACTCTGAAGGCAGATCCCCTCACTGGAAGTTACTCTGAACGCAGTTTTCCACTTAGCTTACGATGGGATTACATTTATTAGACTGTATTTTTCAGAAACATGCAACCTCCCGTGCCTTTTTTTGAAGATCTCCAGTCTGTAATTTTAAAAATTTCTGACTAACCACAACCTTTTCCAAATCAGATTTTCTATTTTCTGAGTAGTGCTACATGAGTAGCCTTCTTTCTAATAACTATGGCTTAGGCAGCCTGAAGCACAAGTTCACTGAATTGGGAAAAATCTTAAACCATTTTTATGTATAGCAGCAGTTCTCAAAGTGGGGTCTACACTCCCTGAAGGTCCATAAGATTCTTTCAAGAGGTCTGCTCGCTCAAAACCATCTGCATACAGTACTAAGATGTTCTCTACCTTTGTCACTGCACTGAGCTTTCACCCCTGATGCGGGAGCCACAGCAGGTAGAGCAACCTGAAACCTCGGCCCAAGTCAAGGTGATGGCACCAAATTCTACCAGCAGACATCTTGTCCCTCACCACCATGTGAGGGAAACCGAGTGTCACTGACACCCCTAGAGTACAGGTGTTTTGCATTCCACGTGACATAAGGGGATGCACACACAGCCCTCCTCCTACACGTGAAGCACCCTTGATGGCTCAAGGAGAAACACCTGTGCACTTGTTGGAACCATGAGCTTATCCAGCTGCCTTTTCACAGAATGCCAGTTCTAACTGAAAATTCACAACAGATAGTTAATTTTCTGATCAGAATTTTGGTAATATTAACAAAGGTGCTTTTCTGATATTGTACAATAAATGTGTCAACAGCTGGAAGATCTGCATAACTGAATTTTCCAAGAGACCAACACATGATGAGCAATGCATGGGTAAAAGATCCATTCAAGGCCGGCGCCGTGGCTCACTAGGCTAATCCTCCGCCTAGCGGCGCCGGCACACCAGGTTCTAGTCCCGGTCGGGGCGCCGGATTCTGTCCCGGTTGCCCCTCTTCCAGGCCAGCCCTCTGCTGTGGCCAGGGAGTGCAGTGGAGGATGGCCCATGTGCTTGGGCCCTGCACCCCATGGGAGACCAGGAAAAGCACCTGGCTCCTGGCTCCTGCCATCGGATCAGCGCGGTGCGGCGGCCGCAGCGCGCCGGCCGCGGCGGCCATTGGAGGGTGAACCAATGGCAAAGGAAGACCTTTCTCTCACTGTCCACTCTGCCTGTCAAAAAAAAAAAAAAAAAGATCCATTCAAGGCTGGCACGGTGGCTCACTAGGCTAATCCTCTGCCTTGCGGTGCCAGCACACCGGGTTCTAGTCCTGGTCGGGGCACCGGATTCTGTCCCGGTTGCCCCTCTTCCAGGCCAGCTCTCTGCTGTGGCCAGGGAGTGCAGTGGAGGATGACCCAGGTGCTTGGGCCCTGCACCCCATGGCAGAACAGGAGAAGCACCTGGATCCTGGCTCCTGCCATCAGATCAGTGCGGTGCGCCGGCCGCAGCATGCTGGCTGCGGCGGCCATTGGAGGGTGAACCAACGGCAAAGAAAGACCTTTCTGTCTCTCTCTCACTGTCCACTCTGTCAAAAAAAAAAAAAAAAAAAAAAAATCCATTCAAGGCACAAAACAGACCAGAGTACAAAACATTCAATCATATGGTTTCAGATCTTTAAAGAAACTACCATTTGTCATTTTTAACTGCAACCTTTAAAGAAACTACCATTTGTCAATCTGGGGATATTATTCAAAAAGAATATTATTCAAAATTATCTGAAAAGTCTATCAAAATACTCCTCCCATTCCCAAATGCATGCCTGTATTAAGGCCAGATTGTCTTTATTTACTTCAACCAAAAGAATGTATTGCAGGGCCAGCGTTGTGGCATAGCGGGTAAAAACCGCCGCCTGCAGTGGTAGCATCCCACATGGGTGCCAGTTCAAGTCCTGCCTGCTCTACTTCCGATCCAGCTCTCTGCTATGGCCTGGGAAAGCAGTAGAAGATGGTCCAAGTTCTTGGGCCCTTGCACCTACATGGGAGACCTGGAAGAAACTCTTGGCTCCTAGCTTCGGATTGGCTCAGCTCCGGCCGTTGTGGCCAATTGGGGGAGTGAACCAGCTGATGGAAGACCTCTCTCTCTCTGCCTCTCCTTCTCCATGTAACTTTTCCAAATAAATAAATAAATCTTAAAAAAAAATGTGTTGCAACAGATTGAAAATGTACAAATAACAACTGAGATTACAACTATGATCTAGAATATAAGCTAACTAAAGATGTAATTATGAATATTTTTCTAAAAATAGGAACATAAGCATTAATGATATTTCTGAAAATAATTTTACCTGGTCTAGATCCAGAGAAGAATAGACAATTTTCCCTTTGTCATCTCCAGAGAACAGTTTCATTCCATTGGGGCTCCAAGCCAGGGCTGTAATGCTATTTTTGTGAATACCACTGACATCAAATCTTCGAAGCTATGAATAAATGATAAATGCATGCAAAGGAAAGGAAAGAAAAATGAGCTGCTATGTGGACAGGGTAATGTTTATTTTCTTGAATGTATGTAGGAGCCGGCTTTCCCAACCTTGTTTTCCACGCAGAAAATGTACAGCATTCTATCTGCCCACCCACCTTCAAGGGACTAGCAAGCAAGCATGGAATGACCCACATGTGCTTTGTGCTAAGTGTCCAAGCAGGGACAAAAGTGCTGCCCAATTATACGTAGCATAGCGTTAAGCTTTTTTGACTATAAAATCTCCAGGCAGGTAAGGACTTCTCATTTAAAGTCCCTGAGGAGTCCGTGGAGAAGCTAAGCCATGCTAAGACGGTGAGCACCTACCTGTCTGTTTCTCCCTGGCAGTGCAGAGACGAGCTGAAAAACCGCAACCCTCCCAGAAGCGGTGCCTGCTGCCACAAGGTCATCGAAGCAGCTCAGCAGCTTCACCACAGTGATGGCTTCTGTTTTCCCCTAAAGGAGGACACGTTACAACTATTGAACCTGCAACCAAGAGACTATTTAAAAACTGATTTATAGGGGCTGGCGCCGTGGCTCACTTGGTTAATCCTCCGCCTGAGGCACCGGCATCCCATATGGGCGCCGGGTTCTGTCCCGGTTGCTCCTCTTCCAGTCCAGCTTTCTGCTGTGGCCCGGGAGGGCAGTGGAGGATGGCCCAAGTGCTTGGGCCCCTGCACCCTCGTGGGAGACCAGGAGGAAGCACCTGGCTCCTGGCTTTGGATCAGCGCAGTGCTGGCCATAGCGGCCATCTGGGGAGTGAACCAACAGAAGGAAGACTTTTCTCTGTCTATAACTCTACCTGTCAAACAAACAAACAAAAACTTATTTATATTCATTTGAAAGGCCGAGAAACAGAAAGAGAGAGAAAAACAGACATTTTCCATCCACTTGTTCACTCTCCAAAAGACCACGATACCATGGCTGGGCTATGCCAAAGCCCAGGAGTAGGAATGCAATCTGAGACTCCCTCCAATGGGTGGCAGAGACCTAGGTACTTGGGCCATCACCAGCTGCCTCCCTGTGTGGACATTAGCAGGGAGCTGGACCACCAATGGAGCAAGGACTCAAACCTGGGAATTTCGTTATGGGATGCAAGAATCCTAAGTAGCATCTTTACTGCTGCACCAACACCCAGCCCTCATGTAAGTGGAATGGTGTGGTATTTCATGTTTTCCCACTGGCTTATTTCACTTAATACAATGTCCTCAAGGTTCATCCACCTTCTGGCATATATGAGAGTTTTCCTTTACTTTAAGGCTAAACAATATTCCTATATGTTGTTTTACACATAACACACACTACACACACGCATTATGCTTATCCACTCATCTGTCAGTGTTCACTTGGGTTACTTCCTCATTATATGTTTTTAAAAATATTTATTTATTTGAAAGGTAGAGTTACAGAGAGGGAAAAAGAGCAAGAGATCTTCCATCTGCTGGCTCACTTTTCAAATAGCCAGGGCTGAGCAAGGCTGAAGCCAAGAGCCTGGAACTCCATGCGTTATCTCCCACAAGGATGGCAGGGGCCCATGCACTCGGGCCATCTTCCACTACTTTCCCAGGTATATTAGTAGGGAGCTTTATTGGAAGTGCAGCAACTGGAACTCAAGACAATACTCCCGTTTGGGATGCTGGTGTAGCAAGCAGTGACTTACCCGGCTGCACAATGCCAGCCCTACTTCCTCATTTTAGTTATGAATAAGGCCGCTATGAACATGAGCATACAAGTAACCTCTGAGACCCTGCTCTTGATTCTTTCGGGTGTATACTCAGGGACTGCCGGGTTACATGGTGATCCCACATTTAATTCTCTGGGGAACTCCCCATGGTATTCCAGCATGTTGACAGTTCCCAGCGCAGAATCCCAGTTTCTCACATCTTCCACACTCACTATTTCCTGGGTTTGACAGCAGCCACCCTAACGGGTGTGAGGGCATCTCACTGCAGTTCTGGTGTGCATTATCCCTCAGGATCAGCGTGCTGAGCACCTCTTCATGTGCTTACTCATCACCTGTCTGGCTCCTCTGAAGAAATATCTACTCAAAACTCTGGCCTTGGCCTGAGCTGCGGCATAACGGGAAACTGGGAGAAGCTTTTGGACCATCTTCCACTACTTTCCCAGGCTCATTAGCAAGGAGCTGGATTGGAAGTGGAGCAACTGGGGCTCTATCCAGTGCTCATATGGGATGCCGGTGTTGCAGGTGGTGGCTTAACCAGCAATGCCACATCAATGGCCCCACTACTTTTTTCTGAGTTGTATAGGTTTAGGTCTTGCAGTTAATCATGTGGTTTGCCGCTTCCTTCTCTTATGGTGATGTAATACACTGCTTGATTTTCATATACTGAACCATCCTTGCAGTCCAAAATAAACCGCACCTTCGTCATGGTGGATAATCCTTTTAATATGCTGCCGACTTCAGCTTCTGGTGTTTTGGAGAGGATTTTTGCATCGATGTTCACAGGGGTTATCGGTGTGTCGTTTTCTTCTGGTATCTTTGTCTGACTTTGGTATCAGGATATGTTAGCCTCATAGAAGTAGTTAGGATGTGTTCTTTTCAGTTTTCCAGACAATGTTGATAACAAATATGTTAGTTCTTTATTTTTGATGGAATTCACTGGTAAAGATCTCATGTCCAGTCCTTTGCCAGATTTTTTTTTTATTACTGATTCTATAGAATTACAAGTTACAGGACTACTCAATTTCCTATTTTTTCATGATCTTGACTTGGTAGGTTTTGTCTGTAGGTTGTGCAATGTACTGGTATACAACAGATCACAGGACTGGCCTTGTCAGGGAACCATTCATGGAGAAAGTAATTGTAGCGCCCTTTGAAAGAAAGTAACTGTGCAGTAGCTCAGCTTGAAAGAAAAGTAGAAAGGTAACCACCCTAGCTGGTAAGATTTGAAAAGGGACGGCCTAACCACAAACTGTCGTTGCCATGACTACGGGACCCTGGGAGGTGGGAATGTGGGCGGGGTTAGTCTCTAGAAACTGTATATAAGGGGACCCTCAGATGCTGTAAACCAGAGGTTGCTCAGCCTCTCTCCCTGGTCCGCAGTGCCTAGTGCCCGCGGGGAGAAGCTCCTGGTCCATAGTGCCTAGTGCCCGTGGTGAGAAGCTCCTGGTCTAGTGCCTAGTGCCCGTGGGGAGAAGCTCCTGGTCCATAGTGCCTAGTGCCCGCAGGGAGAAGCTCCTGGTCCGTAGTGCCTACTGCCCGTGGGGAGAAGCTCCTGGTCTAGTGCCTAGTGCCCACTGGAGCAGGCTTGAGTGATCTCTCCTCCTAGTCGCCTAGAGTATCAATGAAGTGTATTTAGCTTGACCTTCCTTAGTCTCCTTGACTCTTCCTTCGCGGTAACCCGGCCAGTTCCTGAAGGGGGAGATCCTGACAGGCGTAACTCTATTTCTATAGAATTGGTAGTAATAACCCTGTTTTCCTTTTTGATTTTAATAATTTGAGACTTCTCTCATTTTTTCTTAGTCTATCTAGCTAAAATTTGTCAATTTTGTTGCTATTTTAAAAGATCCAACTTGCAGTTTCACTGACTTTCTCTACTGTTTTTTTCATCTCCATTTCATTTACAAGCAAGTGTTCTAACATTTGCTATTTCCTTCTTTCTATTAGCTTTGGGTTTAGTTTTTCCTTGTCTAGTTCCTAAGTTGTAAAGTTAGGTAACTGATTTGAGAATATTCGTTGTTTTTTTTTTTAAAGAGATTTATTTATTTATTTGAAAGTCAGAGTTACACAGAAAGAGAGAGAGAGAGAGAGAGAGAGGGAGGGAGGTCTTCCATCTACTGGTTCACTCCCCAGTTGGCCACAATGGCCAGAGCTGCACCAATCCGAAGCCAGGAGCCAGGAGCTTCTTCTCGGTCTCCCAGGAGAGTGCAGGGGCCCAAGCACTTGGGCCATCTTCTACTGCTTTCCCAGGCCACAGCAGAGAGCTGGATCAGAAGTGGAGCAGCTGAGATTAGAACCGGCACCCATATGGGATGCCGGTGCTTCAGGCCAGAGCATTAACCCACTGCATCACAGCGCCGGCCCCGAGAATATTCTTGCTTTTTAACATTAGGCATTTAAATCTACAAATTTCCCTTTCAGACCACTTTCAGTGCATCCCAAACATTTGTTAAGGTGTGTTTTCAATGTTACTCATCTCTAACTATTTTCCAATTTCCCTTGCAATTTCTTCATTGCTCTGGGTATATAAGTATATTGTTGTAACTTTAATAGTGTATTGCTTTAACTTCTAAAAATTTATGAATTTTCCAATTTTTTTAAAAAAAGATTTACTTATTTGAAAGAGTTACAGAGAGAGGGAGAGTTGGACAGAGAGAGATCGATCTTCCATTGCTGGTTCACTCTGCAAATGATCCAATGACTAGAAGCTGGGCCAAGCCAAAGCCAGGAGCCAGGAGCTTCTTCCAGGTCTCCTTCATGGTTAGCAGGGCCCCAGATACTTAGGCCATCCTCTGCTGCTTTTCCCAGGCTATCAGCAGGGATCTGGATGGGAAGTGAAGCAGCCAGGACATAAACCAGTGCCCATATGATATGCCAGTGTCACAGGTGGCAACTTTACCCACTATTCCATGATGCTGGCACAGATTTTCCAATTTTCCTTCTGTTATTAATTTTTAACTTCTTTCTGTTGTATCTGAGATGTGAAGATTGATGGCTCCAAAAGCCAGGAGCCAGGAGCTTCATACAGTTTTCACTCATGAGTGTAAGGGCCCAAACACATGGGCCATCTTCTGCTGCTTTCCCAGGCCATCAGCAGGGAGTTGGATTGAAGTGAAGCAGCCAGGACACGAACTAGTGCCTTTATGGGATGCCAGCGTTGCAGGTCGCAGCTTAACCTACTGTGCCACAATGCTGGCACCTTCTTTTTCTTCTTATTCTTTGACATTTTGTCAGCTGGTTTACGTTGGGAGTATTGACTGCTGATGCAGAAGGTGGATCAAAAGGTTTTCTCTGGGGCCAGTGGTGTGGCTCAGCAGGTAAAGCCACCGCCTGCACTGCCGGCATCCCATATGGGTGCTGGTTTGAGTCTCGGCTGCTCTACTTCCAATCCAGCTCCCTGCTTATGGCCTGGGAAAGCAGCCGAAGATGACCCACGTGGGAGACCCGGAAAAAAGCTCCTGGCTTTGGACAGGCACAGCTCTGGCCATTGTGGCCATCTGAGAAGTAAACCAGCAGCTAGAAGACCATTTATTCTCTCCCTCTCTCTTTCTCTCTCTCTGCCTCTGCCTCTCTGTAACTCTGGCTTTGAAATAAATAAATCTTTTTAAAAAGTTTTCTCAGGGCCAGCAAGCAGCTGAACCACCATTTGTCTGCTGGGATCATTAGGGTCTGAACTGTGAACCAATTTCAGCAGCAGGATTTCATCTAGTGTGGTTTCAGTATAATGTTCAGTGCTTTCTACCTGCACTGCCACAAACCTCATCCCCTGCAAATC